CAAAGCCTGCCTCAAAGCCTGCCTCAAAGCCTGCCTCAAAGCCTGCCTCAAAGCCTGCCTCAAAGCCTGCCTCAAAGCCTGCCTCAAAGCCTGCCTCAAAGCCTGCCTCAAAGCCTGCCTCAAAGCCTGCCTCAAAGCCTGCCTCAAAGCCTGCCTCAAAGCCTGCCTCAAAGCCTGCCTCAAAGCCTGCCTCAAAAGCCTGCCTCAAAGCCTGCCTCAAAGCCTGCCTCAAAGCCTGCCTCAAAGCCTGCCTCAAAGCCTGCCTCAAAAGCCTGCCTCAAAGCCTGCCTCAAAGCCTGCCTCAAAGCCTGCCTCAAAGCCTGCCTCAAAGCCTGCCTCAAAGCCTGCCTCAAAGCCTGCCTCAAAGCCTGCCTCAAAGCCTGCCTCAAAGCCTGCCTCAAAGCCTGCCTCAAAGCCTGCCTCAAAGCCTGCCTCAAAGCCTGCCTCAAAGCCTGCCTCAAAGCCTGCCTCAAAGCCTGCCTCAAAGCCTGCCTCAAAGCCTGCCTCAAAGCCTGCCTCAAAGCCTGCCTCAAAGCCTGCCTCAAAGCCTGCCTCAAAGCCTGCCTCAAAGCCTGCCTCAAAGCCTGCCTCAAAGCCTGCTCAAAGCCTGCCTCAAAGCCTGCCCTCAAGCCCTGCCTCAAAGCCTGCTCAAAGCCTGCCTCAAAGCCTGCCTCAAAGCCTGCCTCAAAGCCTGCCTCAAAGCCTGCCTCAAAGCCTGCCTCAAAGCCTGCCTCAAAGCCTGCCTCAAAGCCTGCCTCAAAGCCTGCCTCAAAGCCTGCCTCAAAGCCTGCCTCAAAGCCTGCCTCAAAGCCTGCCTCAAAGCCTGCCTCAAAGCCTGCCTCAAGCCTGCCTCAAAGCCTGCCTCAAAGCCTGCCTCAAAGCCTGCCTCAAAGGCCTGCCTCAAAGCCTGCCTCAAAGCCTGCCTCAAAGCCTGCCTCAAAGCCTGCCTCAAAGCCTGCCTCAAAGCCTGCCTCAAAGCCTGCCTCAAAGCCTGCCTCAAAGCCTGCCTCAAAGCCTGCCTCAAAGCCTGCCTCAAAGCCTGCCTCAAAGCCTGCCTCAAAGCCTGCCTCAAAGCCTGCCTCAAAGCCTGCCTCAAAGCCTGCCTCAAAGCCTGCCTCAAAAAGCCTGCCTCAAAGCCTGCCTCAAAGCCTGCCTCAAAGCCTGCCTCAAAGCCTGCCTCAAAGCCTGCCTCAAAGCCCTGCCTCAAAGCCTGCCTCAAAGCCTGCCTCAAAGCCTGCCTCAAAGCCTGCCTCAAAGCCTGCCTCAAAGCCTGCCTCAAAGCCTGCCTCAAAGCCTGCCTCAAAGCCTGCCTCAAAGCCTGCCTCAAAGCCTGCCTCAAAGCCTGCCTCAAAGCCTGCCTCAAAGCCTGCCTCAAAGCCTGCCTCAAAGCCTGCCTCAAAGCCTGCCTCAAAGCCTGCCTCAAGCCTGCCTCAAAGCCTGCCTCAAAGCCTGCCTCAAAGCCTGCCTCAAAGCCTGCCTCAAAGCCTGCCTCAAAGCCTGCCTCAAAGCCTGCCTCAAAGCCTGCCTCAAAGCCTGCCTCAAAGCCTGCCTCAAAGCCTGCCTCAAAGCCTGCCTCAAAGCCTGCCTCAAAGCCTGCCTCAAAGCCTGCCTCAAAGCCTGCCTCAAAGCCTGCCTCAAAGCCTGCCTCAAAGCCTGCCTCAAAGCCTGCCTCAAAGCCTGCCTCAAAGCCTGCCTCAAAGCCTGCCTCAAAGCCTGCCTCAAAGCCTGCCTCAAAGCCTGCCTCAAAGCCTGCCTCAAAGCCTGCCTCAAAGCTGCCTCAAAGCCTGCCTCAAAGCCTGCCTCAAAGCCTGCCTCAAAGCCTGCCTCAAAGCCTGCCTCAAAGCCTGCCTCAAAGCCTGCCTCAAAGCCTGCCTCAAAGCCTGCCTCAAAGCCTGCTCAAAGCCTGCCTCAAAGCCTGCCTCAAAGCCTGCCTCAAAGCCTGCCTCAAAGCCTGCCCATCAAAGCCTGCCTCAAAGCCTGCCTCAAAGCCTGCCTCAAAGCCTGCCTCAAAGCCTGCCTCAAAGCCTGCCTCAAAGCCTGCCTCAAAGGCCACTGCCTCAAAGCCTGCCTCAAAGCCTGCCTCAAAGCCTGCCTCAAAGCCTGCCTCAAAGCCTGCCTCAAAGCCTGCCTCAAAGCCTGCCTCAAAGCCTGCCTCAAAGGCCTGCCTCAAAGCCTGCCTCAAAGCCTGCCTCAAAGCCTGCCTCAAAGCCTGCCTCAAAAGCCTGCCTCAAAGCCTGCCTCAAAGCCTGCCTCAAAGCCTGCCTCAAAGCCTGCCCTCAAAGCCTGCCTCAAAGCCTGCCTCAAAGCCTGCCTCAAAGCCTGCCTCAAAGCCTGCCTCAAAGCCTGCCTCAAAGCCTGCCTCAAAGCCTGCCTCAAGCCTGCCTCAAAGCCTGCCTCAAAGCCTGCCTCAAAGCCTGCCTCAAAGCCTGCCTCAAAGCCTGCCTCAAAGCCTGCCTCAAAGCCTGCCTCAAAGCCTGCCTCAAAGCCTGCCTCAAAGCCTGCCTCAAAGCCTGCCTCAAAGCCTGCCTCAAAGCCTGCCTCAAAGCCTGCCTCAAAGCCTGCCTCAAAGCCTGCCTCAAAGCCTGCCTCAAAGCCTGCCTCAAAGCCTGCCTCAAAGCCTGCCTCAAAGCCTGCCTCAAAGCCTGCCTCAAAGCCTGCCTCAAAGCCTGCCTCAAAGCCTGCCTCAAAGCCTGCCTCAAAGCCTGCCTCAAAGCCTGCCTCAAAGCCTGCCTCAAAGCCTGCCTCAAAGCCTGCCTCAAAGCCTGCCTCAAAGCCTGCCTCAAAGCCTGCCTCAAAGCCTGCCTCAAAGCCTGCCTCAAAGCCTGCCTCAAAGCCTGCCTCAAAGCCTGCCTCAAAGCCTGCCTCAAAGCCTGCCTCAAAGCCTGCCTCAAAGCCTGCCTCAAAGCCTGCCTCAAAGCCTGCCTCAAAGCCTGCCTCAAAGCCTAGCCTCAAAGCCTGCCTCAAAGCCTGCCTCAAAAGCCTGCCCTCAAAGCCTGCCTCAAAGCCTGCCCTCAAAGCCTGCCTCAAAGCCTGCCTCAAAGCCTGCCTCAAAGCCTGCCTCAAAGCCTGCCTCAAAGCCTGCCTCAAAGCCTGCCTCAAAGCCTGCCTCAAAGCCTTGCCTCAAAGCCTGCCTCAAAGCCTGCCTCAAAGCCTGCCTCAAAAGCCTGCCTCAAAGCCTGCCTCAAAGCCTGCCTCAAAGCCTGCCTCAAAGCCTGCCTCAAAGCCTGCCTCAAAGCCTGCCTCAAAGCCTGCCCTCAAAGCCTGCCCTCAAAGCCTGCCTCAAAGCCTGCCTCAAAGCCTGCCTCAAAGCCTGCCTCAAGCCTGCCTCAAAGCCTGCCTCAAAGCCTGCCTCAAAGCCTGCCTCAAAGCCTGCCTCAAAGCCTGCCTCAAAGCCTGCCTCAAAGCCTGCCTCAAAGCCTGCCTCAAAGCCTGCCTCAAAGCCTGCCTCAAAGCCTGCCTCAAAGCCTGCCTCAAAGCCTGCCTCAAAGCCTGCATCAAAGCCTGCCTCAAAGCCTGCCTCAAAGCCTGCCTCAAAGCCTGCCTCAAAGCCTGCCTCAAGCCTGCCTCAAAGCCTGCCTCAAAGCCTGCCTCAAAGCCTGCCTCAAAGCCTGCCTCAAAAGCCTGCCTCAAAGCCTGCCTCAACCTGCCTCAAAGCCTGCCTCAAAGCCTGCCTCAAAGCCTGCCTCAAAGCCTGCCTCAAAGCCTGCCTCAAAAGCCTGCCTCAAAGCCTGCCTCAAAGCCTGCCCTCAAAGCCTGCCTCAAAGCCTGCCTCAAAGCCTGCCTCAAAGCCTGCCTCAAAGCCTGCCTCAAAGCCTGCCTCAAAGCCTGCCTCAAAGCCTGCCTCAAAGCCTGCCTGCAAAGCCTGCCTCAAAGCCTGCCTCAAAGCCTGCCTCAAAGCCTGCCTCAAAAGCCTGCCTCAAGCCTGCCTCAAAGCCTGCCTAAAACCAAAGCCTGCCTCAAAAGCCTGCCTCAAAAGCCTGCCTCAAAGCCTGGCCTCAAAGCCTGCCTCAAAGCCTGCCTCAAAGCCTGCCTCAAAGCCTGCCTCAAAGCCTGCCTCAAAGCCTGCCTCAAAGCCTGCCTCAAAGCCTGCCTCAAAGCCTGCCTCAAAGCCTGCCTCAAAGCCTGCCTCAAAGCCTGCCTCAAAGCCTGCCTCAAAGCCTGCCTCAAAGCCTGCCTCAAAGCCTGCCTCAAAGCCTGCCTCAAAGCCTGCCTCAAAGCCTGCCTCAAAGCCTGCCTCAAAGCCTGCCTCAAAGCCTGCCTCAAAGCCTGCCTCAAAGCCTGCCTCAAAGCCTGCCTCAAAGCCTGCCTCAAAGCCTGCCTCAAAGCCTGCCTCAAAGCCTGCCTCAAAGCCTGCCTCAAAGCCTGCCTCAAAGCCTGCCTCAAAGCCTGCCTCAAAGCCTGCCTCAAAGCCTGCCTCAAAGCCTGCCTCAAAGCCTGCCTCAAAGCCTGCCTCAAAGCCTGCCTCAAAGCCTGCCTCAAAGCCTGCCTCAAAGCCTGCCTCAAAGCCTGCCTCAAAGCCTGCCTCAAAGCCTGCCTCAAAGCCTGCCTCAAAGCCTGCCTCAAAGCCTGCCTCAAAGCCTGCCTCAAAGCCTGCCTCAAAGCCTGCCTCAAAGCCTGCCTGCAAAGCCTGCCTCAAAGCCTGCCTCAAAGCCTGCCTCAAAGCCTGCCTCAAAGCCTGCCTCAAAGCCTGCCTCCAAAGCGCCTCAAGGCCGGCCTCAAAGCCTGCCTCAAGCCTGCCTCAAAGCCTGCCTCAAAGCCTGCCTCAAAGCCTGCCTCAAAGCCTTCCTCAAAGCCTGCCTCAAAGCCTGCCTCAAAGCCTGCCTCAAAGCCTGCCTCAAAGCCTGCCTCAAAGCCTGCCTCAAAGCCTGCCTCAAAGCCTGCCTCAAAGCCTGCCTCAAAGCCTGCCTCAAAGCCTGCCTAAAGCCTGCCTCAAAGCCTGCCTCAAAGCCTGCCTCAAAGCCTGCCTCAAAGCCTGCCTCAAGCCTGCCTCAAAGCCTGCCTCAAAGCCTGCTCAAAGCCTGCCTCAAAGCCTGCCTCAAAGCCTGCCTCAAAGCCGCCTCAAAGCCTGCCTCAAAGCCTGCCTCAAAGCCTGCCTCAAAGCCTGCCTCAAAGCCTGCCTCAAAGCCTGCCTCAAAGCCTGCCTCAAAGCCTGCCTCAAAGCCTGCCTCAAAGCCTGCCTCAAAGCCTGCCTCAAAGCCTGCCTCAAAGCCTGCCTCAAAGCCTGCCTCAAAGCCTGCCTCAAAGCCTGCCTCAAAGCCTGCCTCAAAGCCTGCCTCAAAGCCTGCCTCAAAGCCTGCCTCAAAGCCTGCCTCAAAGCCTGCCTCAAAGCCTGCCTCAAAGCCTGCCTCAAAGCCTGCCTCAAAGCCTGCCTCAAAGCCTGCCTCAAAGCCTGCCTCAAAGCCTGCCTCAAAGCCTGCCTCAAAGCCTGCCTCAAAGCCTGCCTCAAAGCCTGCCTCAAAGCCTGCCTCAAAGCCTGCCTCAAAGCCTGCCTCAAAGCCTGCCTCAAAGCCTGCCTCAAAGCCTGCCTCAAAGCCTGCCTCAAAGCCTGCCTCAAAGCCTGCCTCAAAGCCTGCCTCAAAGCCTGCCTCAAAGCCTGCCTCAAAGCCTGCCTCAAAGCCTGCCTCAAAGCCTGCCTCAAAGCCTGCCTCAAAGCCTGCCTCAAAGCCTGCCTCAAAGCCTGCCTCAAAGCCTGCCTCAAAGCCTGCCTCAAAGCCTGCCTCAAAGCCTGCCTCAAAGCCTGCCTCAAAGCCTGCCTCAAAGCCTGCCTCAAAGCCTGCCTCAAAGCCTGCCTCAAAGCCTGCCTCAAAGCCTGCCTCAAAGCCTGCCTCAAAGCCTGCCTCAAAGCCTGCCTCAAAGCCTGCCTCAAAGCCTGCCTCAAAGCCTGCCTCAAAGCCTGCCTCAAAGCCTGCCTCAAAGCCTGCCTCAAAGCCTGCCTCAAAGCCTGCCTCAAAGCCTGCCTCAAAGCCTGCCTCAAAGCCTGCCTCAAAGCCTGCCTCAAAGCCTGCCTCAAAGCCTGCCTCAAAGCCTGCCTCAAAGCCTGCCTCAAAGCCTGCCTCAAAGCCTGCCTCAAAGCCTGCCTCAAAGCCTGCCTCAAAGCCTGCCTCAAAGCCTGCCTCAAAGCCTGCCTCAAAGCCTGCCTCAAAGCCTGCCTCAAAGCCTGCCTCAAAGCCTGGCCTCAAAGCCTGCCTCAAAGCCTGCCTCAAAGCCTGCCTCAAAGCCTGCCTCAAAGCCTGCCTCAAAGCCTGCCTCAAAGCCTGCCTCAAAGCCTGCCTCAAAGCCTGCCTCAAAGCCTGCCTCAAAGCCTGCCTCAAAGCCTGCCTCAAAGCCTGCCTCAAAGCCTGCCTCAAAGCCTGCCTCAAAGCCTGCCTCAAAGCCTGCCTCAAGCCTGCCTCAAAGCCTGCCTCAAAGCCTGCCTCAAAGCCTGCCTCAAAGCCTGCCTCAAAGCCTGCCTCAAAGCCTGCCTCAAAGCCTGCCTCAAAGCCCTGCCTCAAAGCCTGCCTCAAAGCCTGCCTCAAAGCCTGCCTCAAAGCCTGCCTCAAAGCCTGCCTCAAAGCCTGCCTCAAAGCCTGCCTCAAAGCCTGCCTCAAAGCCTGCCTCAAAGCCTGCCTCAAAGCCTGCCTCAAAGCCTGCCTCAAAGCCTGCCTCAAAGCCTGCCTCAAAGCCTGCCTCAAAGCCTGCCTCAAGCCTGCCTCAAAGCCTGCCTCAAAGCCTGCCTCAAAGCCTGCCTCAAAGCCTGCCTCAAAGCCTGCCTCAAAGCCTGCCTCAAAGCCTGCCTCAAAGCCTGCCTCAAAGCCTGCCTCAAAGCCTGCCTCAAAGCCTGCCTCAAAGCCTGCCTCAAAGCCTGCCTCAAAGCCTGCCTCAAAGCCTGCCTCAAAGCCTGCCTCAAAGCCTGCCTCAAAGCCTGCCTCAAAGCCTGCCTCAAAGCCTGCCTCAAAGCCTGCCTCAAAGCCTGCCTCAAAGCCTGCCTCAAAGCCTGCCTCAAAGCCTGCCTCAAAGCCTGCCTCAAAGCCTGCCTCAAAGCCTGCCTCAAAGCCTGCCTCAAAGCCTGCCTCAAAGCCTGCCTCAAAGCCTGCCTCAAAGCCTGCCTCAAAGCCTGCCTCAAAGCCTGCCTCAAAGCCTGCCTCAAAGCCTGCCTCAAAGCCTGCCTCAAAGCCTGCCTCAAAGCCTGCCTCAAAGCCTGCCTCAAAGCCTGCCTCAAAGCCTGCCTCAAAGCCTGCCTCAAAGCCTGCCTCAAAGCCTGCCTCAAAGCCTGCCTCAAAGCCTGCCTCAAAGCCTGCCTCAAAGCCTGCCTCAAAGCCTGCCTCAAAGCCTGCCTCAAAGCCTGCCTCAAAGCCTGCCTCAAAGCCTGCCTCAAAGCCTGCCTCAAAGCCTGCCTCAAAGCCTGCCTCAAAGCCTGCCTCAAAGCCTGCCTCAAAGCCTGCCTCAAAGCCTGCCTCAAAGCCTGCCTCAAAGCCTGCCTCAAAGCCTGCCTCAAAGCCTGCCTCAAAGCCTGCCTCAAAGCCTGCCTCAAAGCCTGCCTCAAAGCCTGCCTCAAAGCCTGCCTCAAAGCCTGCCTCAAAGCCTGCCTCAAAGCCTGCCTCAAAGCCTGCCTCAAAGCCTGCCTCAAAGCCTGCCTCAAAGCCTGCCTCAAAGCCTGCCTCAAAGCCTGCCTCAAAGCCTGCCTCAAAGCCTGCCTCAAAGCCTGCCTCAAAGCCTGCCTCAAAGCCTGCCTCAAAGCCTGCCTCAAAGCTGCCTCTCAAAGCCTGCCTCAACAGCCTGCCTCAAAGCCTGCCTCAAAAGCCTGCCTCAAAGCCTGCCTCAAAGCCTGCCTCAAAGCCCTGCCTCAAAGCCTGCCTCAAGCCTGCCTCAAAGCCTGCCTCAAAGCCTGCCTCAAAGCCTGCCTCAAAGCCTGCCTCAAAGCCTGCCTCAAAGCCTGCCTCAAAGCCTGCCTCAAAGCCTGCCTCAACGCCTGGCCTCAAAGCCTGCCTCAAAGGCCTGCCTCAAAGCCTGCCTCAAAGCCTGCCTCAAAGCCTGCCTCAAAGCCTGCCTAAGCCTGCCTCAAAGCCTGCCTCAAAGCCTGCCTCAAAGCCTGCCTCAAAGCCTGCCTCAAAGCCCTGCCTCAAAGCCTGCCTCAAAGCCTGCCTCAAAGCCTCCTGCCTCAAAAGCCTGCCTCAAAGCCTGCCTCAAAGCCTGCCTCAAAGCCTGCCTCAAAGCCTGCCTCAAAGCCTGCCTCAAAGCCTGCCTCAAAGCCTGCCTCAAAGCCTGCCTCAAGCCTGCCTCAAAGCCTGCCTCAAAGCCTGCCTCAAAGCCTGCCTCAAAGCCTGCCTCCAAGCCCTGCCTCAAAGCCTGCCTCAAAGCCTGCCTCAAAGCCTGCCTCAAAGCTGCCTCAAAGCCTTGCCTCAAAGCCTGCCTCAAAGCCTGCCTCAAAGCCTGCCTCAAAGCCTGCCTCAAAGCCTGCCTCAAAGCCTGCCTCAAAGCCTGCCTCAAAGCCTGCCTCAAAGCCTGCCTCAAAGCCTTGCCTCAAAGCCTGCCTCAAGCCTGCCTCAAAGCCTGCCTCAAAGCCTGCCTCAAAGCCTGCCTCAAAGCCTAGCCTCAAAGGCCTGCCTCAAAGCCTGCCTCAAAGCCTGCCTCAAAGCCTGCCTCAAAGCCTGCCTCAATCCCTCCTCAAAAGCCTGCTCAAAGCCTGCCTCAAAGCTGCCTCAAAGCCTGCCTCAAAGCCTGCCTCAAAGCCTGCCTCAAAGCCTGCCTCAAAGCCTGCCTCAAGCCTGCTCAAAGCCTGCCTCCAAAAGCCTGCCTCACAGCACCTGCCTCAAAGCCTGCCTCAAAGCCTGCCTCAAAGCCTGCCTCAAAGCCTGCCTCAAAGCCTGCCTCAAAGCTGCCTCAAAGCCTGCCTCAAAGCCTGCCTCAAAGCCTGCCCAAAGCCTGCCTCAAAGCCTGCCTCAAAGCCTGCCTCAAAGCCTGCCTCAAAGCCTCCTCAGCCTGCCTCAAAGCCTGCCTCAAAGCCTGCCTCAAAGCCTGCCTCAAAGCCTGCCTCAAAGCCTGCCTCAAAGCCTGCCTCAAAGCCTGCCTCAAAGCCTGCCTCAAAGCCTGCCTCAAAGCCTGCCTCAAAGCCTGCCAAAGCCTGCCTCAAAGCCTGCCTCAAAGCCTGCCATCAAAAGCCTGCCTCAAAGCCTGCCTCAAAGCCTGCCTCAAGCCTGCTCAAAGCCTGCCTCAAAGCCTGCCTCAAAGCCTGCCTCAAAGCCTGCCTCAAAGCCTGCCTCAAGCCTGCCCTCAAAAGCCTGCCTCCAAAGCCTGCCTCAAAGCCTGCCTCAAAGCCTGCCTCAAAGCCTGCCTCAAAGCCTGCCTCAAAAGCCTGCCTCAAAGCCTGCCTCAAAGCCTGCCTCAAAGCCTGCCTCAAAGCCTGCCTCAAAGCCTGCCTCAAAGCCTGCCTCAAAGCCTGCCTCAAAGCCTGCCTCAAAGCCTGCCTCAAAGCCTGCCTCAAAGCCTGCCTCAAAGCCTGCCTCAAAGCCTGCCTCAAAGCCTGCCTCAAAGCCTGCCTCAAAGCCTGCCTCAAAGCCTGCCTCAAAGCCTGCCTCAAAGCCTGCCTCAAAGCCTGCCTCAAAGCCTGCCTCAAAGCCTGCCTCAAAGCCTGCCTCAAAGCCTGCCTCAAAGCCTGCCTCAAAGCCTGCCTCAAAGCCTGCCTCAAAGCCTGCCTCAAAGCCTGCCTCAAAGCCTGCCTCAAAGCCTGCCTCAAAGCCTGCCTCAAAGCCTGCCTCAAAGCCTGCCTCAAAGCCTGCCTCAAAGCCTGCCTCAAAGCCTGCCTCAAAGCCTGCCTCAAAGCCTGCCTCAAAGCCTGCCTCAAAGCCTGCCTCAAAGCCTGCCTCAAAGCCTGCCTCAAAGCCTGCCTCAAAGCCTGCCTCAAAGCCTGCCTCAAAGCCTGCCTCAAAGCCTGCCTCAAAGCCTGCCTCAAAGCCTGCCTCAAAAGCCTGCCTCAAAGCCTGCCTCAAAGCCTGCCTCAAAGCCTGCCTCAAAGCCTGCCTCAAAGCCTGCCTCAAAGCCTGCCTCAAAGCCTGCCTCAAAGCCTGCCTCAAAGCCTGCCTCAAAGCCTGCCTCAAAGCCTGCCTCAAAGCCTGCCTCAAAGCCTGCCTCAAAGCCTGCCTCAAAGCCTGCCTCAAAGCCTGCCTCAAAGCCTGCCTCAAAGCCTGCCTCAAAGCCTGCCTCAAAGCCTGCCTCAAAGCCTGCCTCAAAGCCTGCCTCAAAGCCTGCCTCAAAGCCTGCCTCAAAGCCTGCCTCAAAGCCTGCCTCAAAGCCTGCCTCAAAGCCTGCCTCAAAGCCTGCCTCAAAGCCTGCCTCAAAGCCTGCCTCAAAAGCCTGCCTCAAAGCCTGCCTCAAAGCCTGCCTCAAAGCCTGCCTCAAAGCCTGCCTCAAAGCCTGCCTCAAAGCCTGCCTCAAAGCCTGCCTCAAAGCCTGCCTCAAAGCCTGCCTCAAAGCCTGCCTCAAAGCCTGCCTCAAAGCCTGCCTCAAAGCCTGCCTCAAAGCCTGCCTCAAAGCCTGCCTCAAAGCCTGCCTCAAAGCCTGCCTCAAAGCCTGCCTCAAAGCCTGCCTCAAAGCCTGCCTCAAAGCCTGCCTCAAAGCCTGCCTCAAAGCCTGCCTCAAAGCCTGCCTCAAAGCCTGCCTCAAAGCCTGCCTCAAAGCCTGCCTCAAAGCCTGCCTCAAAGCCTGCCTCAAAGCCTGCCTCAAAGCCTGCCTCAAAGCCTGCCTCAAAGCCTGCCTCAAAGCCTGCCTCAAAGCCTGCCTCAAAGCCTGCCTCAAAGCCTGCCTCAAAGCCTGCCTCAAAGCCTGCCTCAAAGCCTGCCTCAAAGCCTGCCTCAAAGCCTGCCTCAAAGCCTGCCTCAAAGCCTGCCTCAAAGCCTGCCTCAAAGCCTGCCTCAAAGCCTGCCTCAAAGCCTGCCTCAAAGCCTGCCTCAAAGCCTGCCTCAAAGCCTGCCTCAAAGCCTGCCTCAAAGCCTGCCTCAAAGCCTGCCTCAAAGCCTGCCTCAAAGCCTGCCTCAAAGCCTGCCTCAAAGCCTGCCTCAAAGCCTGCCTCAAAGCCTGCCTCAAAGCCTGCCTCAAAGCCTGCCTCAAAGCCTGCCTCAAAGCCTGCCTCAAAGCCTGCCTCAAAGCCTGCCTCAAAGCCTGCCTCAAAGCCTGCCTCAAAGCCTGCCTCAAAGCCTGCCTCAAAGCCTGCCTCAAAGCCTGCCTCAAAGCCTGCCTCAAAGCCTGCCTCAAAGCCTGCCTCAAAGCCTGCCTCAAAGCCTGCCTTAAAGCCTGCCTCAAAGCCTGCCTCAAAGCCTGCCTCAAAGCCTGCCTCAAAGCCTGCCTCAAAGCCTGCCTCAAAGCCTGCCTCAAAGCCTGCCTCAAAGCCTGCCTCAAAGCCTGCCTCAAAGCCTGCCTCAAAGCCTGCCTCAAAGCCTGCCTCAAAGCCTGCCTCAAAGCCTGCCTCAAAGCCTGCCTCAAAGCCTGCCTCAAAGCCTGCCTCAAAGCCTGCCTCAAAGCCTGCCTCAAAGCCTGCCTCAAAGCCTGCCTCAAAGCCTGCCTCAAAGCCTGCCTCAAAGCCTGCCTCAAAGCCTGCCTCACGCATGTACTGCAAAGCTATGTAGAAGACAAGGCAACTCGTGTCCTCATGCTCGAGTTTACAAGTTGCCTTGCCTTCTGCATAGCTTCGAAGAATGTAGCAGTGCTTCTGTGCTTCAGTGCATGCACCTTTGTTAGTTTGTTGGCTCGCTTGCTTGTTTGGTTTCCTGTACAGTATCTAAATCCTCGCTGCCTCTGCTCTCATCCCTCTTCTTCTCTCTCCCTCTCACAGGAGGATAGCAGGCAGTTGGCCCTCTCACTATTTCCCTCCTTGGCAGCACAGCTCAAAAGGAAAAAGGACCATGGTGAGTCGACCAATCTCTCTTCCTTCTGTAGTTACATTTCTTTCTTTCTTAACATCTTCTGCCTTTTCCTCCCGCCCTGTTTCATCAGTTCAAACAGTTGCTCTCATTCTCTGCATTCCCCGGCCAAATGCAAGCCTCTCTGATTGCCATGTACGGCACAAACTAGGTCTTCGCACCCTCACTCCCCTCTCATCGTTCCCTCCTCAAAAGTCCTCTCCTCTTTCTCACCCACTCTCCCCCTTCCCTACCTTCCTCACTTCCAGGTCGAGCAAAAGCGCTTCTCATTGCCTCATATGGCGTCTGTCTCTGCTGCTCTCAACCTCCCTCATCCTCTCCTCCCTCCCCCATCTTCCTCACTCCCAGGCCGCGCAAAAGCGCTTCTTATTGCCTCATACAGCGGAAACTTATGGGCAGCCTTAGGAAACGTCTGTTTCTGCTGCTCCCACCCTCTCATCATCTCTCCCCTATCCCATCCTTCCCTCTGCCGCCCTCTCTATTCACAGGCCGAGCCGAGGCCCTTTTGATTGCCACATACGGCACTATCCTTTAGTCAGCCCCAAACATTTTCTGTCTCTGCTACTCCCGCCCTCTGTGTTCACAGGCCGAGCAGAGGCCCTCCTGATTGCCACCTATGGCACAAACCTTTGGCCTCCCTCTGGGAAAAAGGCGAAGAAGACTCGGGGAAGAGCCAAGGCAGCGATTGGGGAGGCTGTGAGAACTGGTGAGGGCATGGAGGATGGAAGCAGCAGAATGGAAGCGAAAGAGGATTCAGAGCCATGGTCCATGCCTTTGCCTGTGATATGACTGTTACCAGCTCAGGTCAATGAGGTGACAAGGAAAATGGAAAATGCAGGATGGACGACAGAAACAGCAGTGAGGATGGAAGCACAAGAGGATTTGGTGCCTTTTACCATGCCTTCGCCAGTGAGATGACTGTTGGCTCAGGCCAGTCAGAAGGAGACAAGGAGAAGAGCCAAGGCAGTGATTGGGGAGTCTGCAAGAACTGGTGAGGGCATGGAAGATGGAAGCAGCAGAATGGAAGCGAAAGAGGATTCGGTGCCATGGTCCATGCCTTTGCCTGTGATATGACTGTTACCAGCTCAGGTCAATTATGCGCCAGGTCAGGCTAGTGACAAGGAGACTGCTCAGGCTACCGTAGTGTCAGTCAGTGAGAAGGAAACGAGGAGAATAGCAAAGGCAAGGGTGAGATGACTGTTACCAGCTCGGGCTAGTGAATGGGGACGAGTATAGCATGTGCATGGCTGCTGCAAGATGGGAAGCAGTGAACCCGCAGCAACCAGTGAGAGAGTGGAAGGTGAAGCAGTGCTTGATCGGGACCAGGCCCCCAGAAGTCAGAGAAATTTCTCTGATTTGGGTGAAAAACTCTGATATTTCAGACTTTTATTATAGTGGACTCTGAAAGTTCAGATTTTTTTAGAGACTCAACTCTGATGTTTCAGCTTTTTTTTAGGATGAGTCTGATAAATCATATTTTTTTTCGGGAGTGTACTCTGATCCATCAGAGTACAATCGCGTACCGACTCTGATTCAATGTACCTGGGCTGGCGCTGACACCCGGGATTAGCGGTTGCATTTGACTGTTGTCCCATCAATCACGCTATATGTGGGACAACAGTCAAGTTTTGGCAGCGAGGCCGCCTTGCGGCGCGGTTTTTCCCACGTAAACACCAGTGCACACCTTCTTTGTGTGCTGATTGGTCCTTGTGGCAGCTTTTCGAGCCAACAAGGACTTTCCCAGTACCACGTTCCCCCCATTTGCAGCCACGAAACACAACCGACAGCAGTGCACGGCAGAAGCGCCTCGTCGTTGCCATGCATGCTAGGCAACCACATCCCCTTTCATTGATGGCCCGTGGAGGGGTAAGGGGCCTTGTGTTTGAGCTAGGGTTTCATCCCTCCCCGTGCTTCAACATGCTGTCAACCACACCTCCCTATTTCCTGCTCGACAGGCTTTCTCAGACCCCGCGATGGCTTTCCAGACCGATGCCGCCACAGGCGATGAGGATGATGACGGTCCTCACGTCAGAACGGGGTTAGACTTTTTGCTTAGCTCGCTAGCACTAGAGAAGGTGGCTCGCGCCAGTCCTGATACAATCCCCACACCGAAAGAACCAGCACCAGCGGTCTCATCTCCAACTGATACTGTGATAGTGACGGATGAAGAACCTACCGTTGGTTCTGCCCCGCATCACGTCTGTGAGCCCACCGCCGCCACCAAAGCGCGCAACGTCCGTCTGAAGCAGGCTACGTTGAGCTTCGCGAAGGCGTCTGCGACGACAACGTTTGACAACAATGAAGCTGGCCCATCTGAACGGTCGCGTCCACGACTCGACATCAATTTAGCGCAGCTCATCCATGATGTGTATGAGGATGCACATGACAAGTTCACTACGCAGTGGCATGGTCGTTTTTCGTGGCTTGTGCTAACTAAAACCTCTACTGGACTCCCTGCGTTTAAGTGCAGTGTTTTTCAGGCCCATGCTGGCGACGCAGGCAAGTGCGGGAGGCGCGGGAAAGGTGCCACAGACGTGCAGACACAATCCTTCCGGAAGCACACCGGCACTAACAAGCACAAGCTGGCTATGTCTAAGTTCACCTCGTTAGTGGAAGGCGGGACGAGGCAGCCTCTGATCGACCAGCTTCGAGTCACTGTCGACAAGGAGAAGATGCGCGTCGTTTCCCTTCTTGACTCTTTGCTGTTCGTCAGCAAGTGTGACGCGCCAATGGGGATGTGGGTCAAGCTTGTTCGGTACCTGTCGGAGAAGGGCGTGAAGGGTTTCCCCAAGAAGGGGTATGACACATACTATACCACATGAGTGCATATGTTACTTCTTCTGCAGCATGTACGATGCTCTGCAATTCATGTTTGCTAAACCACGTTAACTGACCGTGTTATTTTATGTGCAGGTACGGTTTCGGGGAGCTAACGCAGTCGACTGCAACGTGGCTTCAAACAACCCAGCTGGAGCATGTGCTCTCAAGTACCTTCATCGGCATCTCCCTCGATGAGAGCACGGATCGGTGCAGTGGGAAGCACCTAATCCTCTATATCAATTTCATCTGCACCTGCAAGCTGGTCACGGAGTTCATGCAGCTTATCACAGTGGATAAGGTGGACGCCGCCTCGCTTGTAAGTCTTCTTCTGTCACACCTACAGGCAATCGGTGTCGACCTGAGGCGGATCTCTGGCATCAGCACCGATGGTGCCAACGTCATGATGGGCAGCAAGTCGGGCCTGGTGACATGCCTCCGACTGCGCATTCCCCACTTGGTGTTGTCGCACTGCATCGCGCACAGGTATATCGAATCGTGTGGCTAAGTGTGTAATTTCTAGCTATTATTGACATGCCATATTCTAACATTGTTCGTTTTTTATGTACAGGGAGGCACTGGCTGCCAAGCATGCTGCTGAGAAGATCCCAGCCTTCGGCATCATCGACACGGTGATTCGAACCGTGGCGGAGCATCTCGGCAGGTCCAGGCCGTGGCACCAGCGGTTCATGGGCATGCAAGAGATTTTCACGTCAACAAGCCTGGAACTGCAAGGGATACATGCAGTTCGCTGGCTCTCGCGGGGCGATGCCGTGCTGAGGCTCAATGGCGTGCTGCCTGCTCTCATCGTGATGTTGAAGGAGTGGGATGAAACCCTGTACGCGCTCGTGACAAGCTACAGGTTTCGTTTCCTACTGTTCTTCATTGCTGACGTGCTGGAGCAGCTCAACATCCTCAACCGGGCTTTCCAGCACAAGGAGGTGAGCTGGGTTATGTTGTGTTCTATTCGTTACACGTACCGTTGCCTCTGCAATGTTCAAGGACCGTGACTAACAGCCCTCCTTGCATTTCTTGCCTTGTCATCAGCTGGATTATGCCAGTGTCCATGCGCAGATAAAGCGCACAACCTCCCACATCGAGAGCCGCTATGTCGACTGCGGCGATGACTTCGGTGCTGGCGTGAGCGAGAGGTTGTCTCCTTTCCTCTCGCGTCATGGGCCTGGAGGAAACAGGGAGGTGACTGCCGAGGGTGTGGACTCCGACGGGCGCCCTGCACGCTTCAAGTTCAAGCTGCATGAGGACGAACTGGAGGAGTTTGAGGGTCCCGCAAATCACGATGGCTGCGTGGACGTGTGCACCGAGTTCGTGGAGAAGATCGTCCACGAGCTGGTTTCGCAGCTTGGCGACCTGGAGGGAATGTCAGGGGCGAAGCTGTTCACCCCTGATGAGTGGCCGCTGGAACGTGGAGAGAGGAACATGAGATGCCTCCAGAGGCTGGAGTCTCTTGTCACACTGTTCAAGGCCGACGAGTGTGAGGAAATTATGCCAGGTAAGCACGGATTGCCATCACCGATGAATGTGCTTGCATGGCATTGTTTTTTAGCCGCCACATTGTTGTATCCTCGTGTGTGATGTAACGCAGTGCAGTGCTCTTAAATCCCTTTTTCTGTGTCTCTACGCTTCCTCCCCCGCCAGGAATCAACAAGCGACGTGCGGTGAAGGAGCTGCGCATGTTCACCTCCGTGGTTGCAGCATCCAACAAGAACGAGCGCAGCTTCAACGCAGGACTCACCGCTATGCTGAAGACACCTGACTGGCGCGAAAACTACCCCAACCTGGTGCAGTTGTGGGTGGCAGTAGAAGTTCTACCGCTGAGCACCGTGGAGTGCGAGAGAGGCTTCTCTCGGCAAAACATTATTAAGTCGTGGCAGCGAGGCTTCTTGAAGGACGCGAGGCTTGGAGACCTCATGTGCATGAGCCTCATGGAGTATGAGCCGAACTGGGAGGAGATTGTGGGGATCTGGAGGAGCTACAAGAAGCGCAAGCCCTACAGCAACGCTCCTATCACTGGAGGGAAGCAACAGAGCAGGCAGGGCAAAGAACCTGTGGAAGAGGAGATGGTAGTAGTCGACCTAGGAGATGATGATGCATGTGATAACGATGATGGATTCAATAAGTAGCCTAGATAGGATAGGATAGCTAGCTAGTATGTATCCTAGTTACTTTAGTTCAACCAAAGTATGATTAGTTTATATGTATGTTGTAGCTGTTAACTAGTTTACTTTAACAAAGGCCAACAGACGGTCCTCTAGAACGAAAGTTACAATCAGACAAAATTCTAGTATAGACTCTGAATATTCAGACTTTTTTAACTTAGGACTCTGATATTTCAGCTTTTTTTTTTTGTACCAACTCTGATTGATCAGACACAATCAGTGTACCAAGTCTGACGAATCAGACCGGCCAAAAATGAATCTGAGGGCCTGATTGGGACCGCTGAGACAGTAGAGCTGACACTACCATTTTTTCAGCCATCAAGGATGTCCTCCGTGGGCTACTGCTGGCCTCACTGCTACTACCCTTCAGCAGCATTAGGGTGCCTGGGCGATACACAAAAGGTCTTTTGGGATTTCAATAACCGATCAAGAAACATTCCAGTCCATTGGTACCCCTAAATTTTTGCGTCACGCATTGGAATTGGAACTCTTCTAAATTTCCAGTCTCTTGTTTTCTTCACCGGCTTGTAGTGGAACGATGCAATCTTTTTGTTGATTCATACACATGGCACCTTTACACAGGAGGCGTGTATAGTCACAGTTACTGTATCAAGGCCAGAAATTTAGGCACCTGAAAAAAACACCACTCGTTAGTGTATCGCTGATAGCAGGTGCAGGTTACAAAATTTTCTTGTGGTGGAAGTAGGATTTGAGGTGCCAGAATTGAAGGGCTGTCAAGGAGATGCAGACGAGGAGAGAAGCAAGACTCAAGCACGTTATTCTGAAATGCGTCGCGTTGACCACTTGCCGCAGCTCCAATTCCCTGAAATTCACATGTTTGGGAGCGAAAGGGCAGAAGGGAAAAGGGGTCTGGCACAAACACTGCAGATGCAGTAAAGGAGAGAAGCGAGACTCGTGAAAGTGATTCTAAAATGTGTTGCGTTGACCACTTGCCGCAGCTCCAACTCCCTTAAATTATAATTACAGGATGGGAAGAAGGTCAATCAGGTAGTGAAGGTGCAGCGGAGGAGCAAAGTGGGACTGAGGCGAGACAATCTCAAGTGTGTACCATTGACCACTTGCTGCAGCTCGAATTGAGACACATCAGATAAACTCACCTCATGTAGGCGCAGAGGTGAGAGTGTTAACCGTTGGCTCTCACCTCCCATGGAACGATTCAAGCTGATGGGGTGAGGCACAGGGGTATGAGGCACCTCTCACCTCTCACACCTCACACCTCACCTCTCACACCTCACACCTCACACCACACACCTCACACCTCACACCACACACCTCACACCTCACACCACACACCTCACACCTCACACCACACACCTCACACCTCACACCACACACTTCACACCTCACACCACACACCTCACACCTCACACCACACACCTCACACTAACCTCACTCACAGGGGTGATTGGAGTCGCCTCGTACCCCAGTGGTCACCTGTGGCACAGGGGTATGAGGCGACTCCAATCATTCATTCCCCAAATTCGATAACATATCAATCATATCAATCATATCACCGAGGTGGTTTTGAAAGGGTCGGCTTTTGAGTTGACTTTCGAGTGGACTAAACAATCGACTCATTACACGCGGTTTCTACATCACCAAGATCGTAAAGAGACGGTTGCCTCTCACCTCTCGTGGAAGAATTCAAGCTGAGCCGCCACAGGGGCATGAGGCAGCAGCAAGATAATAGTGAGGGGGTTGATGGAAAGGGCTGGTTTTCACCTCTCGTGGAAGAATAATAGCTCGTCCGCCACAGAGGCAGCCATGCGTATTGAGGGTGTTTTTGAGACGTCTCAAAACGGCTGCCTCTCACTCACCTCTCGTGGAAGAACTCAAGCTCGTCCGCCACATAGGCAGCCATGCCCTCCAGAGTTAGGAGCTCCGAGTCAAAATTCTGAGAGCAGAAACAGGAGGGAGGGGGGTTAGAAAAAAGAAGGGAAGGGCAGAAGGTTGTGTCAATGTGAACCACGTTGAGGCGCCTCTAATGGTGAGACCAGCCGCCACAGAGGCTGCCATGCTTTCCAGAGTTTGGAGCTCTGAGTCGAAAGTCTGAAAGAGAGAGGATGGGGGAAGTAATTAAGGAAGGGACCAGTTTGAGGGCACTTTGAGGCATCAGTTTCAGAGTGTGGCTCGGAGCTCCAAACTCTAACTTTGAGACACCACTTTGAGGCGAGACCAGCCGCCAGCCGCCACAGAGGCAGCCATGCTCTCCCGTGTCTGGACTGGAGCTCCGAGTCAAAAGTCTTTGAAAGGGAAAGTAGATAAAATTCCCCTCACTTCACCTCACATTGCCTCACCTTTTCTACCACCCCTTCTTCTGCCCTCACCTTTAATTGCCTCACAACGCCTCACCCCCACCTGCTCCTTCTAGGGTGCTGCAGAGAGACGGGCCTCAAGTGCCCAATACACAACAAACAATCTTTGAGGCGCCTCAAAAATCGCCTCAAAAATCTCCTCCTTGGGTGCGTCTTAGGGACGGACCTCAAGTGCCCAATACACAACAAACAATCTCCTTCCCATTCCTCCGTACCTCACCTTGACTTGCCTCACCTCGACCTGCTCCTTCCTGGGTGTCCTGTGACTTGCCCACAGGTAATGCTACATCCACCTTCCCTCTCCAACCCTCTCTCTCTCTCTTTCTTCCTGGCCTCACCTCACCTCGCCTTGCCCTCACCTCGACCTGCTCCTTCCTGGGTGCGTCTGAGAGGTGGGCGTCTTCTGATTTCCCCACACGCCATGCCACTTCCACCTTCCTTTTTCAGGAAACCAAAACCCTTTCTTTCCCTTTCATCCGCGCCTCACCTCTTCTACCCTCCCCTCTTCTGCCCTCACCTCGACCTGCTCCTTCCTGGGTGCGTCTGAGAGGTGGGCGTCTTCTGATTTCCCCACACGCCATGCCACATCCACCTTCCTCTTTCAGGAAACCAAAACCCTTTCTTTCCCTTTCATCTGCGCCTCACCTCTTCTACCCTCCCCTCTTCTGCCCTCACCTCGACCTGCTCCTTCCTGGGTGCTTCTGAGAGGTGGGCGTCTTTTGATTTCCCCACACGCCATGCCACTTCCACCTTCCTCTTCTCCCTCCCCTTGCTGCGCCCTGCACGCGCGCTCCCTGTTGCCGGCACATCTCTCTCCGTGCCCCTGAGAAACAAAACAAAAAAACACAGGGAATGTAGAAATTTTGGGTAGAAACAAGCTGCGACCAACACACGCGCTCCCTGCTGCTCGCACATCCCTCCCAGTCCCTCTGGCAAAATCAGCGAGAACTAAAAATTCACGTTGAATCAAAACATGCTTAATCCCTCTATGTTCCTTCCTCCTCGCCCTCCTCTTGCTAAGACCCGCACATGCGCTCCTTGCTACTCGCACATCCCTCTCTGTGCCTCTGAGAAGCAGCAATGGTGCACATACCATACACACAATGTTTATCAGGGTTGGCGATCACAAATGGTCCGCACGAGTTTTTAAAAGCACAGGTGATCATCAAGGAGGGATCAGCAAAAAAAAACCTACTTTGGCTCGACTAGATGGACTTTGGCCTGATTAAAAAACAAGAAAAATACTTGAAAACAGTGGAATCGCATGCTTGCACAACATGTGCTTGAGAAATGTACACCCCCCACCCCCCCATCCCCACCCCGCGCCCTCTAATGCTGCTCCTACAACCCTCTCAGTCCCTCTGAGCAGCAGCAACGGTGGGCACAGGATGGCACACATTGGAGCAAAACGTAACGAGAGCACAAAAACACAAACAGACGAGATTAGCCGGCTCAAAACAGCCTACCATCCAGCCCACCTGGACAGCCACACACACAACGTGTGATCCCCTGCTTCCTCTGTTATGAGCAATTCACGTGTACTTTCTACTTATGAGCAATTCTTGAGATTTTTTTAGCAGCTCAGCCAACCTCCCGAACCCACCTGGACAGCCACACACACAGCGTGTGATCGCCTGCTTTCGTTGCTCGGAATCCAAAGTGCCCCTCTGTCTGCCGCTCCCCATAGTGCAACTGATTCCCCTCGGGCGAGGTCAGCTGAGGGGGAGAAGGGAAGAGAAGAGAAAGACTTATGAGAATTCTCAAAAGGGAAGTGGAAGGCAACCCAGAATGGGCTCCTCTATAAGCCACACCCTACAGTGCGATTTATGACAACCCAAAGACAACCCTACATCGCACACAAAGACAACCCAGAATGTGTCCCTCTATAAGCCACACCCTATACTGCAGCTGCTTTCTCCCGGGGGAAATTAGATGGAAGAAGGGGGGGGGAGGGGAGTGGAAGAAAAGGTGGGGAGCGGGGAGAGAGGACTGCTAGCTAGTCAACCCAAAATGCCACCCTGTATCTGCTGCTTTCCTTCCCCTAGTGCTTGGTAGTTGGGCTTCAAACGAATTTGTACTTCATAAGTGACGAATTTGTGAAGTGTACTGCTTGAGTGTACTCGATACTTGCCTGCAAGTGTACTTTGAAAGGCGGCTCCGCATCTCCATCCTCCACGCCCACAACTCGATACGAGCCTGCTACTAACGCGTACTGAGGAATCTCCTTGCTCACGCACTTGGCCTGCCGCGACACCTCCATTTGAAAAGAGTTAATCGCGCAAACTACTCGCGAATATGGAAGGAGGAGGAGGAGGAGGAGGAGGGGCAAGAGGAGAAGGTGACTTCTGAGTCTACTCGAAGGGATTGCACTGCTGAAGGGTCTCGCGACGTGCTTGGCCCGTGGCGATACCGCCATTTGAACGTGCTGACGGGACCTCTCAGCACGTCTCCGCCAATCGTGCGAGGTAGCGGCGGATAGGGAAGGAGGAGGAGCACGACCAGTGGGAGGTGATGATGTTGATTCGGCCTTCGCTGCTCTGTTACGAGTAACTTGGTAACCATTCCATAGCTGTCCGTTGCTTTGATTAATTGTTGTGGAGAGACTGGTGGACAAGGATCAGGAGAGGAGGTGTGGTCCTCCCCGCTAATGTCTCATTTATCGATTCGGCGTTATAACGGAACAGACTTTTATTCTTCTTATGAATTTGTGCTGGCGACGCTTACTGAAAAGTCTCTACATCAGCGGGACACGCGCATAATGCGGGAGGAGACATCAGACGTGATTAGAACCATGCCGTAATTAGCGGGTCGGGCCGACCAGGGCTGAGGATAAAAACACTACCACCAACCATCATGCCAATCTGGTCTGCGGACTCGTGCGAAGTTTCGCATCTCTCGCGATTATCGAAGAGATGGCACTTAGGCACCAGATATGTTACAATGCAACTAACCGACCATGACGCTCGCTGTACGCCAGACAGAACTCCTCGGAACAAAAGCTACTACCTAATGTGGAGCACAAGAAAATGAAATATTTACAACTATAGCATATATACACAAGCTATTTACATGACGGCCAGACAAACAAGTGTTTTTTTCCTGTACAAGGGGCACATAGACACATTCAGATGCTTGCAGCAAGACCCTCTGCCACAATGCTTGGCCTGTTTCCCTCCAACTCAAGGTTGTATCGTTGGCCTCGCACAACAGCATACATCAAATCAGGCGCGATGTAATCGCATGTGCACTCAATCCGGAACGGCTCCCCTGGGACCTAGACACACCAAAGAGAACAGCACATGAACAATTTTTTAGACAGCCACAAGTAGAGGCTGTGATCAACATTATGCTCATGATCATGCATGCATGCATTGCATATACGCACTATATATGGGCTATCTGAGTGTTATATGGATGTTACGTACCTGATTTCCAGAGTGTATCTGGACACCTGTAATGACAGCATAGTCAGCGGTAGCAGGATCCACTGTAAGCGATATAAGCTTCTCCAGGTCCTCGTTAATAGCAGCTAGTGCCGCCCGGGTTACTTGTACAAGTGACAAAGGTGGGTCACCATTGGCCACCTGAAAAAGGCGGGGAATAAAACAGAGGAGGAAGAAAGGAACTGAAACGAGTGAAAGGAATGGAAGGGTGGGGTTGAGGAAGAAAGTAATGCTACGGAGAGAGCAGGAAAAAGGAGGAAGTGGAGCAAGGGCGAGGGAAGGGAGCACATGCTCTCTACGGGAGTATTCAACTCATTGAAACAGATTTCTATCATGTTAACCGCCTTGTTCACCACCACCACATTCTCCTCATAACAATAATTTTCCTGCCACAAGCCCTACCTACACGCACACACCTTCCCCTCCCCTCAACTCCCTTCCCCTCCTCTACCGACCACACACACACCTTGCTGGCCACTTTTCTTCTTGAGCAGCACGTATTCCTCGTCAAATGGGTCCTCCTGCGTCCCCTTGGCCTCGTTTATCTGACTCTGACTGCGTGTCACCGATTTCAACCTGAGAGAAACCCAGTACACCCACACACGCACCTTGCTAGCGACCTTCTTCTTGAGCAGCACATACTCTTCGTCAAACGGGTCCTCCAGCGTCCCCTTGGCCTCATTTAAGTCACTTTGAATGGCAATCAATGCTCCACACGCACTTGATGGCCGCCCCCTGCCTCGCCGCAGCAAGGAGCCCACCTCTCCTGACTCGCCAATGGACACGTGCGGGAAGGCGAAAAAAATATCTGCAGGGGAACCGGGAGGAAAACAAGGGGTGAATAGCAATCAGCGCACCACTGGCACTCGAAGCTGTAGCCTGTAGGCACTTGGGGGGCGGCCCCTGCCTCGCCGCAGCAAGGAGCCCACCACTCCTGACTCACCGATGGACACGTGCGGGAAGGTGAAAAATATATCTGCGTCAGAAGCGGGGAGAGAGAAAGAGGGGAATAGCGTACGACGCAGACAAAAGGATGTTGGGACGGAAACGCACTCGACAGCCGCCGCAGCAACGAGCCCACCTCACCCGACTCGTCGATGAACACAGAAGATTACATCTGCAAGAGCAAGATCTAGAGAGGAGATAATGAGAGAAAAAAACATGGCGACCTTAAAGCCCATCTTGCCGCAGTTCACCAGCCCTCCCAGGCCCGACAGGTTGAAGGAGAGATGAGCTCGCAAAAGCTCATCTCAGGGAATAACTAGCAGCCAACATCACATAATGACCATTAATAACACTCGCATCTCTGCGTAGAGTCCCACTCGGCTCCCTGAATTCTGGCGAGTATAATGTGGCGGCCTTAAAGCCCGTCTTGCCGCAAATCATCAGCCCCCCCAGGGCCGACAGGTAGAATCAAAGGAGAGAGGATTGGCCAACATAATGCTACAAGGATAAAGCACACTCACATCTCTCGCGCAATGTTCCATCCGGCTCCCTGAACTCCGGAGAGTGCGACATGGCGGCCTTAAAGCCTGTCTTTCCGCAGTTCACCAGCCCTCCCAGGCCCGACAGGTTGAAGGAGAGTCCGAATTGCCGGTCGATCAGGCTCACCACCGGGCGGCACACCTCGTCTCGACATGTATTCACCAGAGCGATGCTATTGGTCCTGGGAGAGGGGGAGAGGTGAGAGTGGGGAAGAGGCGGGAGTGGGAAAGAGGTGGGAGTGGGACGAGGAGGAAGAGGGGGAGGACGAGGAGAGGCGAGTTTAAGACTCATGGCATGCCTCGTCTTGACATGTGCTCACCAGAGCAATGCTGTTGGTCCTGGGAGTGGGGGAGGGGGGAACGGGAGGAAGAGGGGAGGCGAGAGGGAGAGAACGAGAGAGGGAGGAAGGAGGAAGAGGAGTATGCCCTTTGAAAGGAGGGGGAGCAAAAGAGGAGAAGTATGCCTTCTGCGTCGACTCAAAAGTCACCTCATCGGGGGGCACAATTTTTTAGGCACCTCAAAAAGAGGAATGTGCGTTTTAAAAGGACGGGAGCACAGTTATGCGTCGACTCAAAAGTCACCTCCTCGGGTGGCACACCTCATCAACTTTTGAGGCGACTCAAAAGTCACCTCCTCGGGTGGCACACCTCATCAACTTTTGAGGCGCCTCAAAATTCACCTCCTCGGGTGGCACACCTCATCAACTTTTGAGGCGCCTCTAAAGTCACCTCCTCGGGTGGCACACCTCATCAACTTTTGAGGCGCCTCAAAAGTCACCTCCTCGGGTGGCACACCTCATCAACTTTTGAGGCGACTCAAAAGTCACCTCCTCGGGTGGCACACCTCATCAACTTTTGAGGCGACTCAAAAGTCACCTCCTCGGGTGGCACACCTCATCAACTTTTGAGGCGACTCGAAGTCACCTCCTCGGGTGGCACACCTCATCAACTTTTGAGGCGCCTCAAAAGTCACCTCCTCGGGTGGCACACCTCATCAACTTTTGAGGCGCCTCAAAATTCACCTCCTCGGGTGGCACACCTCATCAACTTTTGAGGCGACTCAAAAGTCACCTCCTCGGGTGGCACACCTCATCAACTTTTGAGGCGACTCAAAAGTCACCTCCTCGGGTGGCACACCTCATCAACTTTTGAGGCGACTCAAAAGTCACCTCCTCGGGTGGCACACCTCATCAACTTTTGAGGCGACTCAAAAGTCACCTCCTCGGGTGGCACACCTCATCAACTTTTGAGGCGACTCGAAGTAACCTCCTCGGGTGGCACACCTCATCAACTTTTGAGGCGCCTCAAAAGTCACCTCCTCGGGTGGCACACCTCATCAACTTTTGAGGCGCCTCAAAATTCACCTCCTCGGGTGGCACACCTCATCAACTTTTGAGGCGCCTCAAAAGTCACCTCCTCGGGTGGCACACCTCATCAACTTTTGAGGCGACTCAAAAGTCACCTCCTCGGGTGGCACACCTCATCAACTTTTGAGGCGACTCAAAAGTCACCTCCTCGGGTGGCACACCTCATCAACTTTTGAGGCGACTCAAAAGTCACCTCCTCGGGTGGCACACCTCATCAACTTTTGAGGCGACTCAAAAGTCACCTCCTCGGGTGGCACACCTCATCAACTTTTGAGGCGACTCAAAAGTCACCTCCTCGGGTGGCACACCTCATCAACTTTTGAGGCGACTCAAAAGTCACCTCCTCGGGTGGCACACCTCATCAACTTTTGAGGCGACTCAAAAGTCACCTCCTCGGGTGGCACACCTCATCAACTTTTGAGGCGACTCGAAGTCACCTCCTCGGGTGGCACACCTCATCAACTTTTGAGGCGCCTCAAAAGTCACCTCCTCGGGTGGCACACCTCATCAACTTTTGAGGCGCCTCAAAATTCACCTCCTCGGGTGGCACACCTCATCAACTTTTGAGGCGCCTCTAAAGTCACCTCCTCGGGTGGCACACCTCATCAACTTTTGAGGCGCCTCAAAAGTCACCTCCTCGGGTGGCACACCTCATCAACTTTTGAGGCGACTCAAAAGTCACCTCCTCGGGTGGCACACCTCATCAACTTTTGAGGCGACTCAAAAGTCACCTCCTCGGGTGGCACACCTCATCAACTTTTGAGGCGACTCGAAGTCACCTCCTCGGGTGGCACACCTCATCAACTTTTGAGGCGCCTCAAAAGTCACCTCCTCGGGTGGCACACCTCATCAACTTTTGAGGCGCCTCAAAATTCACCTCCTCGGGTGGCACACCTCATCAACTTTTGAGGCGCCTCAAAAGTCACCTCCTCGGGTGGCACACCTCATCAACTTTTGAGGCGACTCAAAAGTCACCTCCTCGGGTGGCACACCTCATCAACTTTTGAGGCGACTCAAAAGTCACCTCCTCGGGTGGCACACCTCATCAACTTTTGAGGCGACTCAAAAGTCACCTCCTCGGGTGGCACACCTCATCAACTTTTGAGGCGACTCGAAGTCACCTCCTCGGGTGGCACACCTCATCAACTTTTGAGGCGCCTCAAAAGTCACCTCCTCGGGTGGCACACCTCATCAACTTTTGAGGCGCCTCAAAATTCACCTCCTCGGGTGGCACACCTCATCAACTTTTGAGGCGCCTCAAAAGTCACCTCCTCGGGTGGCACACCTCATCAACTTTTGAGGCGACTCAAAAGTCACCTCCTCGGGTGGCACACCTCATCAACTTTTGAGGCGACTCAAAAGTCACCTCCTCGGGTGGCACACCTCATCAACTTTTGAGGCGACTCAAAAGTCACCTCCTCGGGTGGCACACCTCATCAACTTTTGAGGCGACTCAAAAGTCACCTCCTCGGGTGGCACACCTCATCAACTTTTGAGGCGACTCAAAAGTCACCTCCTCGGGTGGCACACCTCATCAACTTTTGAGGCGACTCAAAAGTCACCTCCTCGGGTGGCACACCTCATCAACTTTTGAGGCGACTCAAAAGTCACCTCCTCGGGTGGCACACCTCATCAACTTTTGAGGCGACTCGAAGTCACCTCCTCGGGTGGCACACCTCATCAACTTTTGAGGCGCCTCAAAAGTCACCTCCTCGGGTGGCACACCTCATCAACTTTTGAGGCGCCTCAAAATTCACCTCCTCGGGTGGCACACCTCATCAACTTTTGAGGCGCCTCAAAAGTCACCTCCTCGGGTGGCACACCTCATCACAAGATGCGCTCACCAGACAGATGCTGTTGGTCCTGAGAGGAGGGGGGGTGAGAGTGAGAGGATGGAGAGAGAGGGAGGACGGCAGGGAAGGGGAGAGAGGGAGGAAGGCAGAATAAGAAGTTCTGGGACTATCTCAAAGCTCATGTCGGCCACAAGGCAGCTCTCATGGGAGGCGGAGGCAGCGGAGGAGGTGGCGGCGGAGGAGGAGGGGGAGGGGAAGATACGTGAAAAGAGAAGGAGGGTGGCGGAGCAGAGGAAAAGGTGAGAGGGGAAAAAGAAGAGGCGCGTGGGGGTGAAAAAAAGAGGAGGGAAACGAGGAAGAGATGAGGATGGAAAAGGACGAGGTTGGTGAGACAGTCATAGATACTTCTCCTCTATCCCACCAACCTCGTCCTTTTCCATCCCCATCTCTTTCTCGTTTCCCACCTCTTTTTCACCCCCACGCGCCTCTTCCTTTTCCCTTCTCACCTCTTCCTCTACTCCCCCCATCTCTTTCTCCTTTTCCGTATCTTCCCTCCACTTGCAGCCTCTTCAGCACACATTTTTACTCTTCTACCTTTCATTCTCCGCAGATGCATCTCGCTGCGCCTCCTCTTGACGAGAGGAAGAGGTGAGAGAAGGGAAAAGGTGAGGGAGTGGAAGAGGTGAGGTAGGGGAAGAGGAAAGGGCGGGGAAGAGGTGGGAGAGGGGAAGAGGTGGGAGAGGAAAAGAGGTGGAAGAGGGGGAGGACGAAGAGAGGCGTGTTTACGACTCAAGGCATACCTTCTAGCGGCATGCGTTTACCAAAGCAATGCTATTGGTCCTGGATGGTGGAGAGAGAAGCACGACAGAGGCAGGAGCAAGAAAAAGGGAACTGAAAAGTTAATTTCTGTTTTATTTCAGCACCTCTCACCTCTTGAAGCCCAGATTTCTCAGCGGAGCGATGCACCTCTTAAAGCTAACTTTGCTCAACGCCTCACCTCTTAAAGCCCAGCTTGCTCAGCTCAGTAGCCACCGCCCTCAGAAACGCCTCCTCCTGCACAGCTCGGGGGAAGGTGGCGGCCATTGTTGCCAGAGCTTCTGGTGCCGCCTGGGAAGATTGAGAGGGGGAGAGGTGAAGGGGGGAAACCGGAGGTGGCGGGGAATCAGCCAAAATAACAGACTCCTGCACAGCTCGGGGGAAGGTGGCAGCCATTGTCGCCAAAGCTTCTGGTGCCGCCTGCAAAGGATTGAGGGAAAAGTGGGGGAAGAGCGATAGGGGTGCGGGAAGTTGATTGTCGTAAATGATTCAAATGACTGAGCCCTGGGGGATTGAAACAACAGCAACAATGAAACAAACAAGCACAAAAACAATATCCTGCATTGCTTACACTGGTAGCGCGCGGAACGATTCCGCTGGGAGGACTTTTGAGGCGCCTCGAAGGCGGGGGGGGAGGGGGGGGGGTTGAAGGCGCGCGTGTTGCTTACACTGGTGGCGCGCGGAACCATTCCGCTGGGAGGGTCTAGCGGAACCATGGGCCCATGGAGTATGGGTGGGTTGGTGGATGTGTGTGTGGAGGACGATGGCGGGGGAAGGGGGTGGTGGGGGGGATGGCGCGCGTGTTGCTTACACTGGTAGCGCGCGGCACGATTCCGCTGGGAGGGTCCAGCGGAACCATGACTGGGCGGATTGCGGACGGTGATAAGGCGTTCCGCAGAGCGAGATAAGCGGCGGAGCCCAGAGCGCCCGCCACGAGCGACGACGTCGCGATGCTGCTGCTGCTGCTGTTCGCGAGCGTACTCGCAGGAGTTACCAGCGACGGTGGAACCGGGGATTGCGAAACGCTGGCGATGTGATGCACCTCGGGCGAAAATTTGTGCGACGAAGGAGGGGAGGTGCTTGTTTCGCGAGGAGCCCCAGAGGCTTCGGCGGCGACGTGTGCGACGGTGGTGATGGCGCGCGTGCGATGTGCGACGGTGGTAGTGTCGCGGAAGCGATGTGCGATTTCGCAGGCAATAACACGGCCACTTGGGACTGCAAACATCACGAGTGGGCGGGGAACGAAGAAGGAACTTCGCGATTGTTGTAACAGGCGACATTCTTCGAGCCTTGACATCCGATGTGGACGTGGAAATGCGTCGGCAATCTCAATGCCGACTCTGCTTCCTTCGCTGTTTTGAAGTGCCTCGAAACAAGAACCTCTCTATTGCTAAAAACAGCTCTGTAAGCAGGCTATCAAATAGGAATAATAATCCAAACTTGTGGATGTGATTCAGGAAAATCGAGTGAAGCATGACTCATCGCAGGGATTTTTTTAGAATTCTCAGATAATCCCTGCAGCTTGTGGATGTGATTCAGCAAAATCGAGTGAAGCATGACTCATCGACAGACCGTCAACAGCGAGTATGCTAGTACCAGTCCACGCAAATTCAAGGCTGGCACCATACTAACGCTGGCGATATGTTCTAAGGCGACTCAGATTCACACTATTTCCATAGCTACTTCGCAAATTGCTAATACCTGTCCGCGCAGGCACCATAGTAACGCCAGCAATACCAGAGCGGAAGGCGAGGAGGGGGTGCGAGGCAGCGAGGCAGGACGACGCGAGAAGCGCGGTCGCCCGCAGATACGCACCGGACGGACGAGCCAGAGCTGCGTCAGGAGACTTACTATTCAGTGAGTTACGAATTCACGTATTCACGACTCTCGAATACACGAATACACGAATCTACAGTGTCTTACGGAACAACGGAATACCACGGAAAAAATACTTTACGGCATCTCACGGAAGTACGGGATACCGGAGTGCGGAACTTCGGTGCTTGATGAAAACACGGTGCGCTAAAAGAAGTGGCAGGTCCGAGGCTTACTCGATGAGTGAGCTATGGACGAGAAACGCCGATTGCATCCGTCACTCGTCGGAGAAAGAGGGAGCAGAGACTAGTATACAAGAAGGCTAATGAGGCTCACTGGAAAACATAATCTTTGCCGTGACGGGCAGAAGTAACTCGCAGGCTGAAGCGCTGCGCAGTAAGAAATGGTGGTGGAGGGGAGAAATCGAGGCAGCGAGAGGAGGTCAGGGATGCGTGATTGTGAAGTGGTGGTGAATGAAGTGATAAAATCCAGGACAGATTAATTTGGGAGTTCGTGCGAAGCGCCTCCTCCGACCAGCTGGGAGCTGGGTCACGCGGCACGTACCTGGTGTCATTGTTGACACGCAAATCAGCAGGTACCACGTGGCGAAAAAAGCCAGGGGGGATGAACGCTGACTGGAATCTTGACGGGAAGAGATCGCCGGCCGACTACGATGGTGGCCTCAATGACAAGGCAGCCACGTCAAACAGCTCCTTGCTGAAGTCGAGTCAGTGTTCCCTCTACAAGCTTTTTCTCTACGAATCGGTTTTACTACAACGAGGCTCTAGTGAATGTGAACTTTTCCAAATCTATCCACACAGAGAATCTAGTGCACAGAAAGTGATGTATCATGTAGACGAGGTTAACATTAGTCCACGGTACGAGTAATTCTATAAGGAGTACCTGACAGCTCCCCCTGCGTTCCCCTCTGCCCTTCTCGCCTTCAAAGACACGACTCACGCAATTCCATACGCGTCTTTCGTGCAGCTCGGCATCTTCAAGGAACATCCAGCCAGCCTTGAAAATCCGCCATCTTGCAGACAAATTCGTCCTTACCGAACTCCCTCTCACCCATTCCAGCCCCGCCCACCCATTTTCTCTGCCCATCCGGACCTGCATGAGGTCGACACCATCCTCTCACACCGTGGCACCCCGGTTGGCCGTGAATATCTCATTCACTCGCGCAACACATCTGCATCTGAAGACACACGGGAGCCGTTCTCCAACCTCAGCCATGCTCCTCGTGCCATTGGAGTCTATCTTGCCTCATTGGCACCGAGGACGGTGCCTTCAGGGAGGGGAGGTAATGTAACAAGTGGGGTCTGCTCTGGAGGCAGCGTGAAGCGCACGGGAGGTGAAAGCATGCAGCAGCAGCGTGCAGCTGCGAACGAGGGCAGCAAGGGGGCGGAAGTGAGCAGGACGTGAGGGACCCACGTGAGAAGGGCGAGACTGAGGTTTCGTGCCTTGACTGACTTGGGAAGACTTCCGCGTGGGACAGGTGGCGAGGGAACAATATCGAAGAGTTAGAAAAGGACACGTGTATGATAGCAGTGAGTTACAAATGTGGAAAAGGATGATGCGACTCAATGTCGGGGCTGGCCACCCGAATCGACATTCCGAGCCGCATTTCTGAAATGTATGTACTGTACATATAAAAATGCATTCGTAGGAATTAGAGTGGAAGTTGTTGTTTTCTCTTTCTGTTTGTTCTTCCTGGCTTCTAAGGAAAAGCCCATTGAGTGAATTTCAGAGCAGGAACAACTTGAACTTGCCCAAGAGCCGTTGGGCTCCATCGAGATCTCCATTCAGCTCTAATCAACACCTTCATAGGACAACAGTTTGACACTGGAGTCGTCGTTTCACCTCACATTTCCTCCAAAGGGATACGAGCACTTTGGTTACTGCATCCTTGTTCTTTGCAGCATTAGTGAATCCAAGTCACTACATTTCCTCCTCTGTAGAAAACCACTAAGTTTTTTTTTTTTTTTTTTTTCGCGTTTCGCTGTGAACCCGCCTTGACGCTTGTCCGGAATGTGATATTCAATGTCGGCTCGACGACGATTGATAGGAAGAGCAACGCTTCCGAGTCTTGCTAGCTCTGCTTGGTAGCATTGCCATTCGCTCCTTAATTATAGACAACAGCACCGGACCTTTCCACATTTCTTACTCGCTCCGGATTAATGTATGCCCGAATGTGACTTTTTGTGCCTGGCTAAAGCGGCGCCGATGGTAACGGGCAACTTGGAGTCCTGCTACCCGCGCAATCTCTACCTAATAGTGTGAGCGTTGCCTTGCATAATGGAATTCACGGTTCGATTCAGGGTGCCGACTACGCTGCTTAAAATCACGAACGGTAGCAATGGCGACGCCATTTCGTTGACCAGCGGCAACACTTCTAGCAGCATTACCACCACCAGCAACAACAGCGGCAGTAACAACGGTAGCAACAGCAGTCCTGATTCTGTCAACGAGCAAATAACGGCTACGATCACCCAGCCAGCAGCGTCGTCCCACGTGGATTATTCCATATCCGTTGATCCGCAAGAGCCGCTCCAATCGGCGTTCAACAAGCTTTTCCAGTCCCACCTCCCGCACTGCTGCCTGTTAAGTCAACAGACGCGTCAGCAGCAGGATGGCGTGGATACGGCCAGCGACGAAAAGGGTCAGACTGTTCGGTTCATGGCTGTCGGGCAAGTGGTGTACCTATCGCCTGAAGCATCACCGGAAAAGGTCAAGCTTAAAGCGGGTAGCGTGGTCAAAGAGCTTCCGGTAAGATCGAGGGAGGCGGGGGGTAAGGGAAAACCAGATTCGAGAGTTACCGCCACGGGTAGCAGCAGCAGCAGCAGTGTTGTTGCGAATCACACATCCGACTCTGCGCCTGCTTCTGCGCCTGGCTCTGCACCTGCCTCCGCCCCTGTCTCGGCGCACCCGGCCCCTACGACTGGCGGCAACAGCAAACCCGTCACCAACACCGGCAGGCGCGCCAGCAGCAGCCGTCGCATCCGACCCAGTATCACGAGGCTGCTAGACTACGAAACAATTTCCCGCCCGCACATGGTGCACCACGTGGATGTCAACCTCCCCTGGAACCACTCCCTCTGCGCCTGCTGCCTCACGTGCATCCTCCACCCCGCCACCCCCACCACCTACCAAACCGCCACCCCCAACACCCTCCGCCTACACCTGCAGCAGACGGTGCATGAGAAAATCAAGCCGTGTCCAGCCAGCCACAACCAGCCGTCCCAGGCTATCCTTGCATATTCCGCCACAGTTAGGGTGCAGGGTGTCTGGGGTACTATGGGCCCAGGTGTGGGGCGTGGGGGGAGCGGGCACACTGCGCTTGCCACTGCGGCTGCTCGTAGGGGTGGGGTTGGCGGTGGTGGGGGTCTTTCTAGGGTTGGCATTTATGCCGGCTCTCCTGCATAACAGTTCAAGAGGAAGGCGGATATTGCGCCCATGCCTGCGGCCGAGGGGATGTTTCTCGAGTGGATGGTAGAGCCACGTGTCGGGCTACTGTGGGACCTGGATGTGGTCAGGTGCCAGCTGGCAGATATGATGAAGATTCACGATCTGGTAGCAGCAAGTGGTGGCGTTACAGCCGTTGGTGCTACAACCGCTGCTGCTACAGCTGCTCGAGCGACCACCTCTCGTGCTTCCAGCGCCGTTGTCGCTACAGCCAGTGGTGCTACAGCCGGTGGTGGTGCTCCCAAGCACTTCTGGTGGTGCTGCTGGCAGTGCAGTGCGTGTTGGAACACCTACCGTCACTGCCTCTCTGTTGTCGTCTTCCTCGTGCTTGTAGCGAGGCTTCCCCGTATAGTCACACTCTGGCGCCTGCACATGAAATCCTGCTATGTTGCCTTCCCCGCCCTGGCGAATCAGCTGAACGCGGGGAGGCAGATCGGGGGGGTGGGGGGCAGGCAGGCGGAGCGGCAGGCGAGTAGGCAGGCGGGGAAGGGGGGAGGGAGGCAGGCGGGTGGGGAAGCAGAGGAGGATTGCTTTGGATCGATCCTGGTGCAGGTGCTTGGGGTGAAAGGGAAGAAGGAGCTGGAATCGGGGCTTGCTGCTCATGTGCTGCCTCTTGTGCCCGGGGGAAGACAGGCGCACGGGGGTATGAGAGCGGGGACGGGGAGAGGAGGGGGGGTAGGAGGAGGGATTGGCTGGGTGGAAGGGGGAGAGGAGTGGAGGGAGGGGTTGAGAGGGATGGAGTGGGATGAATATGTGGAGCGGATGGAGGGCTGGAGGCTGATCAGTACAGGTGCAGCTGCAGACAGTGCGGAGGAGACAACGAGGGCGCACAGGGGAGCGGGGATGCTGCTGGTAGTGCTGGTGGTGCCGCCAGTGGCATGGTGATAACTGGCGTTGACCTGACTGACTTTGCTCTCCGCGCTGCATTGACGCTCTGTGTGCCGCTCGCTGCCGTCTACGGCATGCAAGCGTTTACCGGGGCATACTGTAACAGGTACAAGGAGCGCGTGGAGGACGCTGCTTGTCGTGTTATTAACACTTAGCAGCCAAGGTGAGGGTGTACTATAGTTTATCGCTTTTGTACTCTTATTTCATTTGTGTGCTTGGAGTGTATCGTAATGTACTGCAGAGCCGAGTAGCTGGGGCATTCGAGGTGGTTAGTGGGAGGCAAATTCAAGGTGGTTGGTGGAGGCGAATTCAATTCCAGCCTGTGAATTCAATTTCGAAGTCACCAGGCTGGAAGGCGAATTCAATGCCAGCCTGGGAATTCAATTCGAAGTCACCAGGCTGGAAGGCGGTGCATGCCTAGTGGGCCCAGTGGGAACCCAGCTAGCACCTTGGAGACCTCGCGAGCAGCTCGGCTGACTTGCTTGGTGCACAGGAGCTTGCTTGTGGAGGAAGCAACCTAGGCAGGGGGTGGGAATAGATGTAGGCAGGAGTAGCACTCGGGCTTCTTGCTTTTTGCTTGTATGTTTCTCTTTTACTGCAATTAAGCTTTCCTAATCCAGAGGGAACTAGCAGTTGGAGGAGCTATAAGCAATTTGACGGAGCCCTGAGGGGATTGACATGCTTGCTACATACAAGCAAAAAGCTTGTTGATTGTCTAAAGTACAGGAGATACGCTTAGTTGCCTGGAGTCGCTCACGGTGATGCGCCGTGAGGAATGAGTAGGCACAATCAATAACTTCACACTCATCAACTGCGCTCGGGACTTCGTTTCCCTGCAAGGACGATGGAGGGACAAGGTCTGCCAATCAGGACGCCTGGATTTCGGGCCGAGGAAGGCGATGCTAATGCTCGCGGGAGCCAAGGATCAGATCGAGAGAAGGAAGGCGGCAGGCAGGGAGAGCAGCCGCCTAGCTCTGCTAGTGAATCACCCGCCGGTGGGAGTGGAATCCGCCCTGTGGGGAGTGGATCTCGAGGAGGTACTTCTGCTCAAGGAGGGGAAGAGTATCGAGAAGAGCTTCGCAGTCAGCGAGGGGAGGATGAGCATCACGAAGAAAGACACAGTCAGAGTGGGGAAGAGGCGTACCACGGCTTCTCGGCGGGAGGATACGAAGCTATGGAGGCTGGGAGAGGTGGAAAGCGGCCTGCGGAAAGCGGGGATAGAGGGACCACAAGCTGGGGAACAGGCCGCACGATGAGCGCAGCTCTACCAAAGATTGAGGTGCCGGACCGTTTTTCGGGGACGCCAGGGGAAGAACCCACGCTCAAGAACTACCTGATCATGATAGACGACCTACGTTATCTCTGGGAGAGGGAAAGATTGGACCCCATCAAATTCTTCAGAGGTTTGGGGAGGACCCTTAAGGGCGAGGCTTTGACTCATTACCGTGTGGAAAGGCAGGGGCTTTTGATGCAGTGCAAGAGAGGAGATTTCTTACCTGCGGCGATTACGGACCGATTCTTGGAGAGCTTGCAAGAGCAATTCCCGGGGCACTTGGCGGAGCGGATGACAGAGTTTCAGACCTTGATGAGCGTTGCTTCGGAGTCGCTGCTAGCCTATTACAATAGACTACTGGAACCGGCGGAGGATATGGGGTGTATGGAAGAACGCCTCTTGGTGACTAAGTTTGTCAACGGGCTGGACAAGGACCTGATAGGGGATATGAGGAGCCAACTATACACCTTGGGAGTACGAGCGACGCTGCGGCAAGTATACAAAGTGGCAAAGGAAGTGGAGGAAGGGAAGAGATTCTATGATGGCATGTAGGGGTCGAATTCCAGCCGACCGAACGAGCGGAGACGACCTGCCTGGGCAGCGGTGGAAGGCAGAAGGGCAGAGGAAGAGCGGAAGGAAAGGCCGTCAGAAGATACAAGACGCTGCCATAAATGCGGAGAGCAAGGACATCTTCGAAGGGACTGTACGGTGGGGATAATATGCGACACCTGCGGAGCAAAGGGACATTTCAGGCGCGACTGCCCCAAGGCGCCGACTTGCACGGGATGTGGGAAGAAGGGTCATACCGAAGCTAGATGTTACAGCAAGGGAGACAGGACGAGGGGGACATCAGCGAGGGAGCTGCAGTTAGAACGGGAGTTGGCGAAACTGAAGGCTCAGTTGGAGAAATCAGAGATCAGTGAAGACCTAGAGAAAGCTCTGCTGGCCTGGGAGGATGATGAAGGGGAAGACTATGATGAAAGGGAACCTGAATACGGGACCATGGCTATGCCACCAAGAGAGCGGGGAGATCTGGGGTTACGCAGCAGAGGGGTGGATGGCAAAGCGGAGCAGAAACCATAGGAGTGGAGAATTTTCAGGCAGCCGGAAGGGAAAGGGAATGCTAGCACCGCACGGTGTCACCCAGAGGAAAGGCTCGTCTGTCAGCCCACGCCTCTGGTGGTGGAACCAAAAGCAGTGGCAGTCAGGGGAATCTTAGTAGAGAACGCGGTGGTAGATACAGGAGCGCAGAGTGTCTTGATCGGGAGGAAGCTGACGGAACAGCTGCGAGCGCAAGGGAACCTAGAGACCGTGAGTAAGGGCATACTGATCATGATTGCAGAAGGCGGGGCCCCCAAGTGGATGCCGTGCACCCGAGATCTGATAGAGATAACCTTACAACCGGGAGAGAAGGGAGAGACGACCATCAGGGTGCAGTGTGGGTTAACAAAATCAGAAGACTACGATATTCTACTGGGAATGGAGCTGTTGTTCAAGATAGGCACTACTCTTTGTACCTGGCAAGAGCAGGTGCTTTACCGTTCAGACTTTTGGGAGGAAGGAAAGGAGCTGAGTGAACTACCCGTACGGTTTGTCAAGACAGAACATAAGAAGGCATGGAGAGCAGAGGGACTGAGAAAGGACAGCGGAAGGAGTGGAAGTGCTGGGAAGAGTAAAGTCAGCGCTCACTTGGATCAGTATTGCGTTACATTAGTGGAGTTGTTCGGGGGAATAGGACCGGGCTTGGCAACAGCCTTGGAAGCAGGCCTAAGGGTGAAGAAGTGGGTATACGTAGAACTGGACCCAGAAGTGAGGAGGATGGCATGGAAGCATGCTCAGATGTTACAGCAGTGGTACCCCGCGCAGCTGACGAAGGAGGTACTACAGGAGGCTATGCAGAAAAAGAAATGGGACGTGGGACAGATCACTAAGGAAGATGTGGACAGCTGGGGCAAGGTGGATTTGTTAGTGGCGGGTTGGGAGTGTTAGGGTACTTCCCGAGCCGGAAAGGGGAAAGGTTTGCAGGACGAGCGCACGGCGATGGTGACCAAGCTACTCACCATTATGAAGTGGGCGAGAGAGGTAAACGGAGAATACGCTTACATCTTGGAGCACGTGGATATGAGAAGCGATGTACGCGAGCCTGTCAGGGCAGTAAGGGAGCTGGTGGAAGCAGAACTGGGAAGGGGAGTAAGTTGTGACGGTGCATAGCTGGGGACACGCTGTCATAGGGTGCGTCAGTACTGGCAGAACGTCTTGACAGAAGGAGAACTGAGGGCTAGATTAGCAAGGGTGGAGAGAGACGAGAGCAAGATCGTGGAAGATATTCTAGAACCTGGGAGAGTGGCGTCACCAGTAGAAAAACCGGATCATCCGCGGCAGTACCAGTGCAACCGAGTGGGGGAAGCACGGAGAGCTTGGCCGACACTAGTGGCCTACGCTAGGGCACGAGGTTTCATTGAGATGGACGGAATTCCGGGACCAGGGATGGTGTACGATCACCAGAAGAAGAGGTGGGAGGAGCCGACTGCTTTGGAGCGTGAATTAGCCATGGGATACCGGCCAGGAGCGACCCCTCCATGGTATCTACTCGCATCACATCACCCAAAAAAGTGTCGATTCACCTCACATCTCCACTCCATGGTGTCTACTCGCATCAAATCACCCAAAAAAGTGTCGACTCACCTCACATCTCCACTCCATGGTATCTACTCGCATCACATCACCCAAAAAAGTGTCGACTCACCTCACATCTCCACTCCATGGTGTCTACTCGCGTCAAATCACCCAAAAACGTGTCGACTCACCTCACATCTCCACTCCATGGTGTCTACTCGCATCAAATCACCCAAAAAAGTGTCGACTCACCTCACATCTCCACTCCATGGTGTCTAGTCGCATCACATCACCCAAAAAAGTGTCGACTCACCTCACATCTCCACTCCATGGTGTTTACTCGCATCAAATCACCCAAAAACGTGTCGACTCACCTCACATCTCCACTCCATGGTGTCTACTCGCATCAAATCACCCAAAAAAGTGTCGACTCACCTCACATCTCCACTCCATGGTGTCTAGTCGCATTACATCACCCAAAAAAGTGTCGACTTACCTCACATCTCCACTCCATGGTGTCTACTCGCATCAAATCACCCCAAAAAGTGTCGACTCACCTGAGGAAGAAGTGCGCAGAGCAGCATTGGGAAGAGCCATAGATCAGCATTCGCTCAGATGGCTAATCAAGGAGATGAGAAAGGGGGCAGTCGACAGAGGAGGAAGGGTTGGAAAAGAGCAGGGACAGGGCAGTAAGCAGGCGGCGTATGCAGCTGTGGGCAAGGTCACAGGAGGGAAGGAGAGTGATACCGCACCAGCAGGGGGCAAGGAAGCTGAGCAGGGCAAGGAGTGGGAGTTAGGGGCTGATATAGGGGAGCAGACAGAAGAAGCAGTCAGGGAGGTGCTACGGCAGCACAAGAGCACCTTCGCCTATAACCTGCAGGAACTGGGGAGGTACAAAGGAAGAGAGCTGGAGCTGAACCTCACCACGGACCTGCCTACTTACCAACGAAGAAGACGAATGAATGCAGAAGATGCTGCCATCTGCAAGGAGAAGTGTGAAGAGTTACTGGCAGCAGGGATCATCCGCCCGTCCGAGTCAAGTTACGCAGCGGCTACAATGATAGCTGCAAGGAAGGATATCACGGGTAAAGTGCTGGCAAAAAGGATGTGTGGAGATTTTTGGGAGCTGAACAAGATCACTAGCCCGGACAGGTACCCTATGCCAACCGCAGAGGACATCTTCGACTGCCTGGAAGGCGCCATTATCTTCACTACCCTAGACCTACGACAGGGATTCAACCAAATAGCTATCAGGGAAGAGGACAAGCGGAAGACAGCGTTCCACGGGGTGGACGGGTTATACGAGTACAACATTATGCCTTTCGGGATACGTAATGCTCCAGCAGTGTTTCAGCGAGCTATGGATCAAGTCCTGAAGGGGATCCCCACGGCTGCGTGCTACATAGATGACATACTGATTTTCAGCAGCAGTGAGGAGCAGCACGTTCGAGACCTGAAGCAGACACTGGAGGCGGTAGCGGCTGCAGGTCTGACATGTCATCCAAAAAAATGCAAGATAGCTAGGCACACAGTGGCTTACCTGGGCTTCGAAGTGAAAGGGAAGCCTGAGACACGAGGAGGAGTGCAGGGAGGAGTGATTACGTACGCCAAGAGGAAGAAGGGATGAATCTGGTCAGGTGTGCAGGTGACAGGGAAGGAAGGAGAGAAGGAGAATTCGGCTGGATACTCACGAGGGAGTGGGACAGAGAGTTTACAAGGGAGGATTCACGACAAGCTGTGTAGGCAGCCAGGCAACGGCTGGTAGAGAGGGCAGAGGAGTCTGGACAGGGGAGTGTGGTGGAAGGGGGAGTAGTAGTGAACACTGAGAAGAAAGTGGAGGATCAAGCGTCAGAGAGGCCAGCGGCAGCAGGAGAAGGAGGAGCAGCCGTACCAGCAGCAGGAGTTTCTGCCACTTCTCCCCATCCTGCTGCACCAGCTGCACCTGCTCCTCCTGCTCCTCCTGCTCCTCCTGCTGCTGCTGCTGCCACCAGTGCAGCAAGCAGTGCCGCCGGTCTCGTGCCAGTCATCAGTGACCCAGCAGTGGCAGTTTTCACGTTTCGAGCCGCCTATCTCCTCCAATGGGTGCGAGTCCACGGCCCCAGGCTCAACCCTCCCAGCTACTGCACCCGCACCAACCCGGAAGCACCAGTCCTGGTGCTCCCGCACCCGGTGCACGACCTCCCGAGCCTGCTGGTCAGGTTCTGTGCCATCCCAAAACATGTGGGCACGGCAGGTTCGGAAGGTTTTGCCATGAAGGAGTTTGGTGTGGGAGGAGGGGTTCCGGGGTGGGAAGAGTTTCCAGTGGGGGACAGAGAGGCCCTGAAGGCACATAGCAGAGGCAGTGCCCTGGGAGGGAGGGAACGAGTAGAAGGCATAGGAGGGGTGGAAGAGGGAACTGCAGGGCTTGCGAGTGGGGAGTTTTTGGGGCTGAATACCTTTCAAACAGGCAGCTTCCGGGACTCTGTGTTTGACCGAGATGAGATGCTCAAAGAATTCAACGTTGGGTCAGCAAAGGGTCTGCAAGAGAGGGGGATAGCCACGAGCCCAGCAGAGGACGTGCAGGAGTATCGAGCTGCCAAGGCTCTGAGTGACAGTAGCACGCACACTCCCGCATTCCCGACCGTTGCAGACCGTGTCGAGGATTTTCTGAGAGGGTTCTCGCCAAAGCGGCAGGCGAAGGAGGGGCGGGGCGGGCCTCTGGCCCGAGCGATCACCGACTGGGTGCTCCGACTCCACCTGGTGGCAACAGAGACTAGCAGCAGCAGTGGCAGCAGCAGCACCACTAGCAGCACTAGCGGAGCGGCAAAGGGAGAGAGACAGGATATGAGCTGGGTGGCGCTGGCCCTGGGGGCGTACTCCCCGGGCAAGTTAAAGCCCATGCTGAGATCCCCCCGGGAGGTGGATGCGTTTATGGAGTTCATGGTGGGCATGACCACCCTCACGCCCGCCTGCAACTGCTGCAGCTTGTGTCTCAACGTGTTCAACCGGGCAGTTACTCCTGCGGCCGTTGTTGCCTCGTTTGCTTTCCGCCCCTCCTCGGTGCTCCTGCGCTGCATCCTCTCGCTGTATCCCCAGCGCTTCACTCCGGTGAGAGTTCTCCTAGACAAATAGAGACCGCATTCAAACCCGAAACCCCAAACTCATCAGTTGGGAGTTGTTAGAGGTTGTTGAAAAGCCGTTATGTTAGATTAAATGCCCTTCTGTTGGCGCTCCCTCCGCTGCATCCTCTCGCTTTATCCCCTGCGCTTCACTCAGGTTAGAACTCTCCTTGACATTTAGAGACGCTGCTTAAACCCTAAACTCCTCAGGTGGGTGTTTTAAGAGGCAATGGATAGGCCATTACGTTAGATTATATGCCCCCTCATTGATGCTCCTCGGATGCATCCTCTTGCTCCACCGCCCACTCTCACCTCAGATGAGAGTCCTCCCTATAAAAGTGATTGTTTTAGACGTCTCAAAAAAACCTCCCTATAGGTGCCTGCGAGATATAGGTGCCTGCTAGTCGAAATGGCTGGGTTTCACGGCGATGAATTCGTCACCACGTTAGATAGAATGCCCCTCGCTGGTGCTTCTTCTGAGCTGCATCCTGTCACTCTACCGCCCGTTTTCCCCTCAGGTTAGAGTTCGCCTAGACCCTTCAATGTTTTGAAAGCAACTTAAAACCCGTCCCGTTTCATAGAATGCGCTTGGTTGGTGCTCCTTCGCTGCATCTTCTCACTCTACCACCCATGTTCCCATCAGGTGAAGGGGGAACATGGGTTTCTCTAAACAGAAAGAGATGCCTTCAAGTCCCTGTGGTTATTATCACGACAAGTCATTGCTGAACGGGAGGTAGAGTGAGAGACTTTCGATTCCCTTCTTTCTCTCCCCCTCTACCACCCACACCCCTCTCACATGAAAGAGCTCCTCGACACGCTCGGAATCTGCTGGTCATCTACTTGCAATGCCCCTCTGCCCTTCTCCTCTGTTTTTTTTTGCCCTCTATGCCCGCACCCCCTTAAGATGAAGGAGCTTCTAGAAACACGCTTGGAATTCCCCCCCTGCCAGACCTGGTCCCGGCTCGGCTCGTGGCTCCTCTTCTTGAAGGCGTGGTGGAGCACAAGCGCCTGCACTTCCTCTACACAGCGACATGTGTTGCTGTCTCTTGGAATCACCTTGAACGATATAATGGCCCCCCGCCGTCTCCTCTACCCTGCTCTCTTCTCCCCTGTCTCCCTCTTCCACCCACACCCCATTCTGATGAAAGAGCTCCTAGACATGCTCGGGATCCCCCCCTGCCAGACCTGGTCCCGAACCGGCTCGTGGCTCCTCTTCTCGAAGGCGTGCTGGAGCACAAGCGCCTGCACTTCCTCTACACCGCAGCCATCCTGCTGTCTTGAGAAGGCATCGTACAGGACATCATGGAGTTACACAGAGCAGATGGGGTGATGAGGAGTGAAGAGGAGTTGAGAGAGGTGGAGTGGAACGGATGGGAGGGGGGGGAGGAGTGGCTGATGTGGGAGGAGGTACATAGCTGGAGAAATGCGGTGCTTAGAGCATGGCCTGTTACTGAGATGTATGAGGCGCCGCATAGCTGGGCAGCGACTGGGGAGGACGAGAGGGTGAGGGATTGTTGTGTGGGGATGAGGCGGAGGGAGAGGGAGTATGAGGAGATTAGTAGGGGGAAGGAATGGGATTTGGTGGATAGGATGGTTGCTGCTGCTGCTGCTGCTGCTGGTGCTGCTGGTGCTGCTGCTTCGGAGGCTGAGAGTGAGGTGGGAGGCGGGTTGAAAATGGCGCCTGCATACCTGGTGCCGTGGGTGGGGGGAGTGAACCCGTTTGCATGCTTGCGGGAGATGCTGCTGGGGGAGACGTGCTACTGGGAGCTCTCAGACGGGCGGAGGGTTGGGGTGACACCTGGGGCAGGTGCAGGAGCAGGAGAAGCAGGAGGAGCTGTGGCAGCAGAAGGGGTGCGTTGCTGTGCCTTCCCCGAGTGTGGCCGGGCGGAGGGGCCGGGGAGGCCGCCATTGAAGGCTTGCTCGCGGTGCGGCCAGGCAGCATACTGCGACAGGGACTGCCAGACGGCCCACTGGAAGGTGCATAAGCTGAAGTGCCAGCCTAAGAAATAGCAGAGGAGAAGAGGACGAGGAAGGGTTGGGGATAAGTGTGGCAAGTCGAAGTTGTGAGGGGTCAGGCTGCTTACTGCTACAGGGACTGCCAAAGGGCCTATGGATAAGGAAGGGGGAGGGGGGAGGGGAAAGGAAGGAGATTTGAGAAAAGGGACAGGGGAAGGGGAAGGATAAAGGAAGAAAATGGAGGACAATTGTTTGGCACATCAGAATGAGGGTGCTGCTTTATGTTCAGCGGTACAATCAGGATGGCTTTTTCTAGAAAAAGTGCTGCAAATGTCACTGGTGCCTATTCTAAACAGAGCGTTTTGTACGCATTACTACAGGGTTAGCCGAGGGTCTTGACTTGAAAATAATTTGTGACGAATTTATCCATTCCTGCATTTATATCTGCCTCTATTAATGGATATGAAGGCAAATACTCGATAGGCTGGTTATTCTGTGTCAATTATGCCATGGCATTCCTTTGGTTTAGAGAAATTGTGTTGTGCCTAATATCATGAAGCCTGGTGCGACTGTAGAGTGTTTGTTTCCGTGTTTCCTCCTTCCCGATCCGTTTCCCCTCCACGAATCGCGATGATATCGAGGCCCTTCCCTAATCCATGGGAAATCCGAGAAATAAACCGAACTTAGGCGGGACCAACTACGCGACTGAGGGTCAGTACAATATGTTTCGATAAGTATCGCTGAAATCCGACCAGGGTTTCATGCTACATCCGACGATCGTACCCGCAAGATCCAATGTGCACATGAAACCTTCCAACTGCTACCGCTATTCGGACTTGCTCGGCTATTCCAATCCGCCATTGTAGAGTGCTCGATAGAAAGGGCAGTTGGTCATGGGTAATTTCCACGAAGTTCATTTGTCGCCTCGAAGGCGTCGCAAGGCGTCGTGGTTGTCGCTGCTGCACAGGCGACGTCGCACGATCCTGATCGTTATCGTGTCGCTGTTTGCCGTCCATGGACTCTACCTCTTCACGCAGTTCAAGCTCCACGTCAGTCTACTCCACCTCTGAATGTCTTGCTGCTCTTCCAAATTTTTTTTTTTCATCATTTGATGCAAAACACATTGGTTTGTCGTCCATGGACTCTACCTCTTCACGCAGTTCAAGCTGCATGTCAGTCCACCCTACCTATGACTCTCCTGCTGCTCTTTCGAACGCTCGCTTGTCATTATGTAAAGTCCGAAATGAGATGCTTTGAGTTTGCGCGAAACACATTGGTTTGTCGTACATGTAAACTCTACATCCTCACTCGAATTCAAGCTGCATGCCAGACCATCATACCGATGAATCTCATGCTCTTCTTGCGAAGGTGTTAGCTTGTCACTGTCGAGAAATTTAAGGTGTGTTTTAAGTTGATTCAAAACACATTCCATTGACGCGATTTTCATTCAATGCGTATGCACTGGCGACCTGCATTCATTCTGTTGTTTACCTCGCGTTGCGTGTATGACAGGAAGGCGTGGAGTGCTCCTTCCCCACCCCCTCCATTCTCCCCTTTCACGCCTCCGAGCCATCGCCGTTTTCAAAGGAGACTAATGATAAGGTGAGATGCAGACAAGTGCCGTGGCACACCCTCAAAGAGAGAAAACTACACGTGCCCACCCTCAGGTTGAGAAGGCTACAGAAGTTGGGCACATGCACAGAATCTCCTCCTTCATCCTTCAGAATTCATTTATGCTAAGCAGTCTTTACACCCGGATTCTCCTGGCATTGTTCCTTACGTCCTCCACCACTCTGTGGCAGCGTTGTGACGTTTGGGTCGACTCAAAAGTCTCATTGTTCCTTCAGTCCTCCACCACTCTGTGGCAGTCACATAGTTCATTCGGTCCTCGACCACTCTGTGGCATTCACATAGTTCATTCGGTCCTCCACCACTCTGTGGCAGCGTTGTTTGCTAGAATAGTTCTTTCCATCCTCTCCACCACTTCTCATTCTTGCATGGTTCTTTCGATCCTCTCTCCTCTCCTGAGGCGCCTCAGAGGTCAGAGGCTCTTTCCATCCCTCGACCACTCTAACCAGCTCCGAGGATCGCCCCACAGCCGTCTTTAACCACTCTACTTCACTTCTGCTGATTTTTTAGGCGCCTCAAAAATCGTCTCAGTTCACGCGGTTTTTGAGGCGCCTCAAAAACGAGGATCGCCCCACAGCTGTCTTTAACCACTCTACTTCACTTCTGCTGTTTCAGGAACCCTCCCCCGCCGTCCGTTTTGAACTCATCCACACCACTTCCACCACCTATCACCACCTATTACTACCTTCTCCCCGCCCAATTGTCCTAGCATGAGCTGCCTGTGTCGTACAGCCTTAAATCTCCCACAAGACACCAGTTGAATCAATCTCACCAAGCATGACCTCTGATCCTTCTGGGCCCAGAGTTTTTCTTTCGTGCTCATCGCCCTGCGTTTGTTCCGCCCCAACGCTTTTCCTCCCCTCCTCCTTCCTGAACCCCTCTCCCCTCCTCTTTCCCCCCTTCTCTCCTGTGCTCTCGCGTCCCCCCGCCTGCCCAGTTCCTAGAGTGGGCAGCATTTTACGTATTGTACCTTTCCCCCAAAGCATGAATCAAACTCACACCAGACAACCCCCCTCCGTCCTCCCTTCTGCCCTCCTCCCCCATACCACCCAGTTCCTAGCATGGGCAGCATCCCACGGGTTGTACCTCTCCCCCAAGACACGAATCAAGCTCACACCAGACGTCCCACCAGAGCCTCTCGAATCCGCTACAGACAGCCCCGCTACAAAGACAAAAACCACTAGCGGCAGCAGCAGCAGCAGCGGCGGTGGTGCCGGTGGTGGTGGCAAGGGTGGTAGCAAGAAGGAGGAGAAGGGGGGCAAAGGGGGGAAAGGGGAGAGTGGAGGGCGTGGGATGGTGCGTTTGGTGCGAGGGCTGGTGGCAGAGGCGGATATGGAGTCGGGAGACACGCTGTGCAAGATACCGGTGAGTGCTACGACGCAGGTTATCAGGGGTACGATAGGCAGTTTTTATGGGCCAACAGATGAGGTGGCTGATCCGAGGGCTGGTGGCAGAGGCGGATATGGAGGCGGGAGACACGCTGTGCTAGATACCGGTGAGAGTTAACACGATTGTGACAGTAGGCATTTAGGGTTGGGAGTGAGGGTTACTATTATGAGCGGTGAGTGCAAGATACCGGTGGGTACTATCATGAGCGTTATGAGTGTTTGTGAAAGAGAAGTTTTGAGGCGCCTCAGAAACAGATACCAGTGACTGTTATCAAGAGCGTTATGAGTGTTTGTGATAGTCGATTGTTATCGAGAATGGTAGCTTGTTGCAAATGAAACAGAGTGGGTGGGAGGGATAGTGCGCCTGTTGCCTGTGGTGTGTATTGTACGTTTGGTGGTGTGAGGGCTGTGGCTGGGTACAAGATACAAGCGACTATTATTTTCTAGTCGATTTTTGAGTCGACTCAAAGGCGTGTGGTGTGAGGGCTGTGGCTCGGTACGAGATACTGGCGAGTATTATGGGTGCAATGCCGTGCATGGTACCAGCGATTGTTGCGAGTGCGATGCTGGGCAAATTACTTATGAATGACTGCCAGAGTCTACAAGTGTTGCTCTTGCTGTAATTTCATGCGTTTCCACTGTGCATGCAACTCACATCTCCCCTCCAGATGTCTCTAGCCCTTTGGTTCAACACCTACCAGAAGCTAGGTGCAGATGGAACACTGATATTTGTCAGAATACTGAACGAGAATGAATGAACTATGAATGAGTTGGGTACAAGTACTAACCATAATTGGATTGTATCCTTTATGGGCTACCCCACTACAGATTACACAATGTAAGCACTATAACATTTTGACACACCCCCATAGACAAAGTGGGAGAGAACAAATGGCCACAAAACCAGTCAGGACAAGCAAAACAAGCTCAGGGTGGATCACGAAGTCACCACACATTCTCAGCACAAACAAATGACCACAAGGTCAGTTCACATCCAGAGTTATATAAAAAAAAACAAACAATCAATACAGTGATCATACCCTAACAAATGTAAGCATGCAGGTATATATATAGATCACAGTACAAGCAAAATCACGCAGTGAGCAAGTGAGGCAAAGTAGGCACAAGGCCTAAAACAGTACAGAAACGCTGATGATCACCAGACTGAAGTGTCTTAGTGAATATATCAGCAGTGTTGGCCTGAGTGGCCACGCAAGCAAGACGAAGCTGACCAAGCTGCTGCAGCTCTCGAGCAAGGAAGTAACGCAGAGCGATGTGCTTCGTTCTGTGCTCCAGTCTGTGCTCCTGACACAAGGCAATCATGGCCTAGTTGTTTGCGTACAGAATCGGAGAAGAACGAGGCCGCTCTCCCAAGTCGGTCAGCAGGTAGGTAGCTGTAAGTCGTCGAGCGACGTATCGAACTGGATCGAACGGCCCTTATGATCGAATGTGAGTACACTGAGAGAAGCCATAACGGGCAGAGCAGGGCGGCGTGCGACCAGCAGGGCACTACGCAGGCAGGGCGGCGCACAAGCACTAGGGAGGCGCGCAGGGTAGGGAGAGGCGGCGCACGGCTAGGGAAGAGTGGCGCGCAGCCAAGGCAGGGCAGGGCGGCGGCCAGTAGGGCGGCGCACAGCACGGCGGCGTGGGCAAGGCGGTGCGGGCAGCGATGCGGCTGCCAGGAGGGCGGCGGGCGGGCAGCAGGGCGCCGGCCAGCAGGGCGGCGCGAGCAGCAGGGCGGCGCGCAGCAGGGCTGTGCGGGCAGCAGGGCGCCGGCCAGCAGGGCGGCGCACAGCAGGGCGGTGCGGGCAGGGCGGTGCGGGCAGCGGTGCGGCTGCCAGCAGGGCGGTGCGCGGGCAGCAGGGCGCCGGCCAGCAGGGCTGCGCGCAGCAGGGCGGGCAGCAGGAGGGCGGCGCGAGCAGCAGGGCTGTGCGGGCAGCAGGGCGCCGGCCAGCAGGGCGGCACACAGCAGGGCGGTGCGGGCAGGGCGGTGCGGGCAGCGGTGCGGCTGCCAGCAGAGAGGCGCGCGGGCATCAGGGCGCCGGCCAGCAGGGCGCCGCAGCAGGGCGGGCAGCAGCAGGGCGGAGCGCAGCAGGGCAGTGCGGGCAGCAGGGCGGCTCAGCGCGGACAGGGCAGGGCGACGCGACGGGCAGGGCAAGGCGATGCGACAGTTAGCAGGGCGACGCGACAGGCAGGGCAGGGCGACACGACTAGTGGGGCAGTGCTCTGTGGTGGGCCCTAAAAAAAATCGGTCCTAGAACAGGACCTGCTTTGAAACCATGTCAGAATACTGAACGAGAATGAATGAACTATGAATGAGTTGGGTACAAGTAATAACCCTAATTGAGTTGTACCCCTTATGAGCTACCCCACTAAAACCTACACAATGTAAGCACTATAACATTTTGACAATATTTGATGCGCCCCAGAATGTCATTGTGTCTTCAACACCCAAACAACTTTCCTGCATATGTCTCTAGCCCTCTGGTTCAACACCAGCCAGGACGGAGGTTCGTAAGGCGAATATTTGAGTGCCCAAGCAATCCCGCACGTTTCTATCCACCCCTGCTCCCATCCCCATGTACCTGTACCCTGCAGATGTCTCTAGCCCTCTGGTTCAACACCAGCCAGGTCGGGGATGCGGAGGGAACACGAGGAGGAGTGGCAGTAGTGGGTGGGGCGGGCGGGGCGAAGGGAGGCGGGAGCATGAGGGAGAGGATGAGGGAGATGCGGCAGCGGGTGCTACAGGGGAGGGCGGCTGCTAAGGCCGGCATTGGCGGCGGTGGGAGGAAGCAGCTGGGGTGGGACCTGGTCGCTCTGCGGATTCTTGAAGAAAAGTGAGTGCTTGCGTGATGGGGTTGGGAAAGGGGGCAGGAAGGGGGCTATGGAAGGGGCGAATGTAGGCGGGGCATGAGGGAGAAGCAGCTGGGGTGGGACCTGGTCGCTCTGAGGATTCTTGACGAGAAGTGAGTGCTTGCGTGGAGGGTTATGGGGGTGAATGGGGGGGAAAGGGGGCCTGGGAACGGGGGAAAAGGAGGAGGGGAAGGGGCGAAGGGAGGTGGGGCATGAGGAAGAAGCGGCTTGGGTGGGACCTGGTTGCTCTGAGGATTCTTGAAGAGAAGTGAGTGCTTTCCTCTTGGGGTGATGGCGGTGGGAGAGGGGGAGGGGGGGCGGGGAGACGGCTAGGGAATGGGGAAAGAGGGGAGGGGAAGGCTCCCTACATCCGCTCCTTGTGTCCACACATCTCTGTCATCTCCCTACCTCCCCACCTCCCTTTCTTGTAACCTTCTCCCACCCCCATATCTCACTTGTACCAACCAAACCCTCGTCTTGTGTGTGTACCACCCCGCAGAGCAAAGGGAGATGCCCCCTCCTCAGCGCTCTACATCCGCTCCCTGCCTCCAAACATCTCTCTGTTGTCCCCCCACCTCTCTCTCTTGCAACCTGCTCCCCCACGCATCTCCCCTGCACCAAATCTGCAGAGCAAAGGGTGATGCCTCCCCCTGGGCGCCCTACATCCGCTCCCTGCCTCCCTCTGTTCCTCTGCCCATCTTCCTCCCTCCTGAGGTGAGTACACTGACTCCCTTACGAAGGTTAAACCCCTGGCCTACTCCTGGCCACCCCATTGGTCACTCCCAGTCAGTTCATTTTTTCATCAGTTATGACCTGCTTTGTTACTACCCAAGAAAGCACTACCCAACGTTCAACGTTCAGCTGGATTGCTAGAAGTTGGGACCGCCCAACAAGCCCTGTTCTTTTTCAAGTTTTCACTGTTCTGCTGTGCCGTGTTCTGGTGCTATGTCACATGATGGTGGGAGGAAGAGGGAGAGGTGCAGTGGGCATTGCCAATGGAGCGATGAACGAGGAGATTAACCATGGTCACCTCGACCTCACTTGCGCCGTGCTTCTTCCCCCCCGCTCATACGCTCTGTTCCTCTGCCGTGGTATGTTTTCATCTGATGGTGGCAGGAGGAGTGAGAGGTGCAGTGGGCATCGACCATGGAGCAGGTGAAGAGGATGAACGAGGAGATCAGAGAGACATTCCATCACAAGCACCAAGCCTCCTCCCAACCACCTCCTCCCAACCGCTGTTGCTCCTTCTCCCCCTGCTGCTGTGATGTGCCTGTCTTGCTCTGTCATGCTGTGTCATCAGGAGGAGGGAGAGGTGCAGTGGGCATCGACCATGGAGCAGGTGAAGCGGATGAACGAGGAGATCAGAGAGACATACCACAAGCACCATGATTCCACGCATCCCACCCTTTCCTTTGATGAGTACAGTGAGTGGCATTCCATTAAATTTATGAATCAGGTGCTTGTCAGGTGTTTATCAGCTGCAGGAAAAACAAATCACGACAACTTCTGAGACGTCTCAAAAGTGTGAGCTGGTTAGCAGGAAAGAAAATCACGGCATTGCGAGTTGGTTAGCAGGAAAAACAAATCACGACATTGCGAGCAATGTATCCAGCGTTTCGTGTTGGTCATGACACAACACGAACCTCCTCAAGTGGGCTCTCCCTCCCTCCCTCCTTAAGTGGGCCCTCTCCAGGATGACAACCAAGCCGCCACCACTTGGTCAAGCTTTTTCTCAATGCTTAATCAAGCATTTTCTTAACACCCTTCCCCTCACTCCTTTTTCCCTTTTCCACCCTCCTTACTCCATCCTCCATCCTTACCTGCCTCCCTCCCTTCCTCCCTTTTCCCTTGCTCCCAGAGTGGGCGGTTTCAATGGTTCACAGCCGGGCTTTCACTCTGCCAGTCAGGCCGGGCGGCAAGTTTGAGCAGTTTGTGATGATGCCGTTCATGGATGCCATCAACCATCATTACAACAACCACGTGAGTCAGCATCGCACCCATGTGAGTCAGCACTACACCCATTTGAGTCAGCAAGGCAACCTGTGAGTCAGCGGAGGAAACCTGTGAGTCAGCACAAGACTACACCTTCCTGATCTTGCCCTGTATGTATGCCCCACCACAGTGTGTGATGGTTCATGCTGACTCACAATGCCAATCCCCCAACATTGTTGACGAGGTGACTTTTGAGTCGACTCAAAGTCACCCCATCTTGCCCTGTATGTATGCCCCACCTCTGTATGATGGTTCATACTGACTCACAATGCCAATCCCCCAACACACCAACCATCCCATCACCTTCCATCCTTCCCACGTTCACTCCCTCACAGATGGACTGGATGGCAAAGCCTGTCTCATCTGAGGGCGTGTTGGAGATCCGGCTAAAGCGGGCTGCCAAGAAGGGAGAGCAGCTCTTCACCTCCTTTGGGCCTCGCAGCAACGAAAACCTCTTTCTCTACTATGGTGAGTGGGTGGGCCTGGTGGCTTGCAACTGAGCCTCCATGTTGTTGGTTTTTCACCTGATGGAGTTTTGGGGATAGGGCCGCCAAGAAGGGCGAGCAGCTCTTCACATCCTTTGGGCCCCGTAGCAACGAGAACCTCTTTCTCTACTATGGTGAGTGGGTGGGTCTGGTGGCTTGAGCCCCCAGGTGGTTGGTTTATTCACCTGATGGAGTTTTGAAGATAGGCTCGCCAAGAAGGGAGACCAGCTCTTCACCTCCTTCGGCCCTCGCAGCAACGAGAACCTCTTTCTCTACTATGGTGAGTGAACGTTGTTAGTTGCTCAGGTATTAACCTCTGGGACGCCTCAATACCTTTGGCCGTGTGGTAGTGAGGCTTAATTGCTTGCAATTCAGACTCCGTTCAATTGAGTGAGCTTACGGCTTGCATCTGAGGCCCCGTCAGACCTTTGCTAATCTCACTTTACCTCCCAGGCCTCCCTTGGCCTGCCTTGATTTTTCTTGACTTGCCTTGACCTCTGTTGACTTCCATTGATCCCCATTGACCCCCGTTGACCCCCATTGACCACCATTGTCCTTCACTGATCTCTGTTAAGCCCTTTAACCTTGCCTCGTCCAAGCAGGCTTTATTCTGACCTCCCGCCCCCTTCCCCCCACCACGCACAAGCAGGATTCATTCTGGAAGGCAATCCGTTTGACAGCCTCGCGCTCTTCCCTTCCTTTGAGGACTCGGTGCGCTGGCTGCTCGACCGCGTCTACACAGACTGCCGCTCCGACTCCCTCCAGCGCCACATGACCGTCGCTGCCATCGCCGGTGCCTCCTCCTCTGCCGCCTCCTCTGCCGTCGCCTCTGCAGCTGTCTCATCCTGCTCGCGAATCTCCTTCACTCAGGCGTGGAAGCAGGCCCGCGCGGCCCTTGATCGGCCCTCGTCGCATGATGCCTCTCGGGGGTTCGAGCGGGACAGGAACCTCTGGTGGGATTTAATGAACAGCTGGGCTTCGTTCGGGTATGAGATCCTGCCGTACCGGGCAGGTCCGGATGTTCGTCCGGCCGGGAGGGTTGATCCGAGCCTGCTCGCGGCGCTTGCCGCGGCGGCTCGGTTTGCAGCTTCAGCGCCGAACCGGACGCTGCCTGCTGGTGCGTTTCCGAGGTGCCCACCTGGGTGGCGGAAAGATGGGAAGAGTGGGGGCGGTTGGGGGAGGGTGGGTGGTGGGGGGGAGGGGAAAGGGGGTTTGTCTTGGCCTAGGTGTTGCCGAACCAAGGCATGGAGAATAGCTTGTAGAAGTGATGGGGTTGGAGGGAACATAGGGTCAACTGAGTCAACAGAGTCAACAGGGAATGAGGTGGATGACGAATTGGGGGATGACGGGGAGATTCAGTCAGGGGGAGTCTCAGGCAGATCTACAGGGTCAACGGACGGTGAGGATGCAGCGAAAGCAGCATTAAGAGCAGCTAAGGCAGCAGAGGACGAGGCTGCAGTGGCTGCAGCGGAGTATGTGAAGCTGCTTATAGTGAGGCGGTGCCGCGAGCTGATGATAGGCATGGCCACGCCGGCACACTATGATTGGTGGCTACTGCAGGATGTGGATCGCGTGGGAGGGAAGCTTCTGGGAAGCGATGGAGGGGTGGATGGGACAGGAGCGAAAAGAATCGGTAGCAGCGGTACGGGAAGCAGCGGCAGCAGCAGCAGTGCTGCAGGCGGTGGTGGTGGTGGTCGCAGTGGTAGTGCTGCCAGTGGTGCTGATGGTGGGAGCAGCAGTAGCGGTGGGGGAGACGGTGGTGGCAGTGGAGGAGAGTTGGAGAGGGAGGGTGAGATGCAGTGCAAGTTCAGGGGACAGGTGTTGTCGCCGCAACGGTTGCTTGCTGTCAAGTATCGGCTCAGTAGAAAGGAGATGTTGCTGGCTGTTATCAGAAGGCTGGAAGCTGGATTGTGAAGTGTACTTAAGTAGTATGTTTACCTGACTCGCAAGGAGCTCACTGTCAACAACCTTGTAGGGGGGACGTTGACTTCAGCAAGGAGCTGCTGACGTGGATTCGTGGAGAGTTGTCTGCGTACCCTGTTTTATCACTTAAACTGTAACACCATTTTGATTACATACTTTTGTACACCCAAATCTTATCCAGTGCTTATATACGGGTGTCTCATTCCAACGTGTGATTCTAGTCAATCAAAATGCCGTTAGGAGAAGGGCAATTTCAAATGCCCGTCATATCCACAATCGATGCATCCGTGAATCTTCATTCTTGGATGCATACATGTCATCTCTCCCCCTTGAAGTTGCTGCTGTTCGGGTTGTCAAAGCAACGTGCCGCTTTATGCCCTCTCGTCCCACAATAAAAGCAGAGTCCATGTCTTTTCCCCCTTGCTGCTGATGCACTCTCCATCTCAAGCTCGCCATTTTCCGTACGCCTGGCAGCTTCTTCCCTGCTTTTACAATAATCATTCATAGCTTCTATCTCCCGCAACTTCACCAACAAATCGGTCACACGTGCTGGCGGGTTGCAAGTAAAGACAATCCTCACGCTTCTCCACTCCTTGGACAATCCACAAATGATGCAGCATATCATATCTTCCTCCTTTTCTGCTACTCCCACATCCTCTAACTCACTGTTGTAGAGCAGAGCCCTGTATACATAATCTTTGACGGTCTCATGAGGCTCCATGCTAAGGAACAACAGCTTCCTTCTCAATAACAGCTTCCTTTGCGCGAACAGCAACCCACCATTACTAATGGAGCTGGCTGTTGCCATACAGGCTCCATGAATGGCGTCGGGTGGCTGAGAGAGCATCTAAACTATGTTGGAGTGGTTTCCGTGAACCACACCAACGACGGCAGGCGGACTAACGACGGCTGAAAATCTGGACCGACGGCGACTTCATGGCGGTGGCGTGTGGAAGAAGCAATACGAAGGAGCTAAGAAGTATCTAAGATTACTATGCGTGTGTGCTAAGTTATGAGCTACGGGGAATGAATACGAGGAAGAAATGGGAGTGAAGGAGAAGTGACGGGAAAGGAATTGACGGGAACGTTTGATTGGTTGGGAAGTTGAGTGTTCAACAAGGAACCCGAGGCATGTTCAACAAGTTTCTGAAATTCGGACTTGAGGAATGTTCGGTGAATTCGGTTCGGTTGCATGTGCGACTCGGGGTGAAACGAGGCGCACGTGGTTACTTGGGAAACAAGTGAAGTTACGAATCGCATTTTGTGTCTTGCCTGACTATAAACCTGTTTGTACTCATTCTGGAAATACGACATGACAACATTGAGATTCTGAAAATTGCTGGTGTGTATTGACAACTTCAAGCAGAGCTGCGCATATCGTTGGATTCGGGAGATCGTGGAGAACACGATAGGCGATAGCAAGTAGACTATTGCCGACTAAGGTGTTTACGATCCTAAGAAACTAGAACTTGCGTGGATGGCTCGAGAAGTGCTCTGCGTCAGCTGTGAATCTATTAAAAGAAATTGGTTGAACGTTGAACCGGAATCTGAAAATATGATTCAGAAAGCCAAGGTGCGCCTTACCCAACGTGTCTCACATCTCGTTTTGGGGCGTACACACAACCACCTGAAATTTGCTTCCGAATGTACAACATTGACCCTGTTCAATAGGCAAACACCAACGGCAGCGGAATCATGTGGGGCTAATGAACTTCCAGCATTGGGGAATGTACAGTATTACAGTTACAGCGGTCGTTTGACTCGCGCGAAACAGGCACTATTTCCAGGTTCGTGGAATTTCAAGGGGCAGGTGTTGTCGCGGTTGCTTGCACGAACAGAAATCGCTGGCCACACGGTCGCTTGTCGCTCTCTGGCCGAGTTCAGTTCGGTGGTTTTCTTTTCTGCAGTCGTCATGATGGGTCTGGCCCCAATTCCGGTCGGTGCAAGACGGATGGTGAGCTGCCAGCCACAGTGGTCTCTCGCCGTCAAATTGCAGTATGCCTCATACAGAATTGCACGTTTATAACATCATATTTCTGCATGAACATATTGTCACTAAAGAACTGAGACTCACATTCCTTACTGCTTGTCCCGACTAAACTCTTTATGTCCCCCCCCCCCCTCCCCCCCCCCCCCCCCCCCCTCCCTCCCCACTCCCTCCCACAGCTCCTTCCTTCCCCCTCACCTCCTGAGCACCATCAACATTTCTGATCTGCCACACGTGTGTTCAATCCGTCTCCTTCCCCACCCTACCCCTTCAGCTGGCACTGCAGCTTATGCACTTACCAGTGGCCTCTCTGGCAGTCCCTGTCGCAGCAGGCAGCCTGGTTGCACCGCAAGCAAGCCTTCAACAGTGCCTCCCCCAGCAACCTGGCGGACTGACCATCACTTGGGCTGGCACTGCCGCTTGTGCACCTTCCAGTGGGCTCTCTGGCAGTCCCCCTGTCACAATAAGAAGCCAGGTCATATGCACCACATGCAAGCCTTCTCCCGCCCCCAACCCTATCCCTTGGGCTGGCACTGCAGCTTATGCACCTTCCGGTGGGCCCTCTTGCAGTCAATGCTGCAGCATGCAGCCTGGTCGAGCAGACCCTCTACATTCCTGACTTGCCACACTTCCCCTTCCCCTCTACTATCAATTGGGCTGGCACTGCAGCTTATGCACCTTCCAGTGGGCCCTCTGGCAGTCCCTATCACACCTTCAATGGCGGCCTCCCGGGCCTCTCCGCCCTGCCACACCCCGGGAAGGCACAGCAGCGGATACCCCCTGCTCCTCCTGCAGGTGCTCTTGAATCTGACGCAGCAGGGGCAGCAGCAGATGAGCCTGCCCTGGGTGTCACCCCGACCCTCCGCCCGTCTGATAACTCCCAGTAGCACGTCTCCCCCAGCAGCATCTCCCACAGGCATGCAAACGGGTTCACTCCCCCCACCCACGGCACCAGGTACGCAGGCGCCATTTTCAACCCGCCTCCCACCTCACTCTCAGCCCCAGCAGCAGCAGTAGCAGCAGTACCAGCTGTGCCAGCAGCAGCAGCAGCAGCACCAGCGCTACCAGCAGCAGAAGCAGCAGCAGCAACCATTCTATCCACCAAAGCCCACTCCTTCCCCCAACTAATCTCCTCACTGCCGAAGTGTGACCGGTTGTCATGGTACTCGTGTAGTAGCAGATGGCGAAGCCTGGAGTCATCAGGTACACAAACAGCACCAGAATCTGCACGGGTCCAAAAGGGATTGCTGAAAAGAAAGGATGAGTCATGGGGGACTTTCTGTTGGTACAGCTGATCACGGTTGTAACCCTGGCTGAAACGAGTGATGAAGTTGCGGTCCCATGTAACCACTCCCATGACATTCAGCTCCTCTGCTGCTGGCCGTGACAGAACATCCGCCGGATTGAAGCGCCCTGGTTTGTACACAATCTGAAGGTTGGGGACGTACTGCTCCAGAAACTGAACCCACCGCGCCTGCCGTGGTGTAATCTGTGACTGTGTTTTCAGGTACTCCAGTGTTCTGTGATCAGTGAAGACCGTGACAGGCTGCATCTCCACATAACAGCGCCACTTCTTCAGTGCATGCACCACAGCAAGTGCCTCTCTCTCGTGAATGGGGTATGCTCGCTCTGCAGCAGTCAGCTTCCTTGACTCAAAGGCTATTGGCTGCAGCCCAGCTTCCTGCTCCTCGCAGAGAATTGCTCCAAGGGCAACATCTGATGCATCACACCAAATGAAGTACGGGAGCTCTGGATTCGGTACTACTAGGGCAGGGGGTGAAGTAAGGCAAGTCTTGAGCTCCTCAAAAGCTTGCTGCTGCAAAGGTCCCCAACTGAATGATGAGTCCTTCCGTAAGAGATCGGTCAGAGGTGCTGCCACTGCTGCAAATCCCTTCACAAACCGCCGGTAGTAGTTAGCTAACCCCAAGAATGCTTGCACCTCCTTCACTGTACGCGGCTGCTTCCACTGCTTCAGCACTGCTACCTTGCTGTTGTCCACCTCCAGCCTCCCATGTGAAATGACATGACCCAAGAATGGTAGCTTGGTCTTTGCAAACTCACACTTTGAACGCTTGGCATACAATCTGTGCTCACTGAGTCGTACAAGTACCAGCTCAAGGTGCTTGAGGTGTTCCTCACAAGTGCGACTGTAAACCAGCAAGTCATCAATGAAAACCACCAGAAACTTGTCAATGAAATCACTGAAAATGCTCTGCATCATGCCTTGGAAAGTGGCTGGAGCGTTGGTGAGACCGAAAGGCAGCACACGAAACTCATAGTGATCGTACCGTGTTCGGAAAGCTGTTTTGGGGATGTCCTCACTCTGAATCCGCACCTGATGATACCTCGAACGCAGATCCAGCTTCGAGAAGTACCGTGCCTCACCAACTTGCTCGAACAGTTCATCAATCCGTGGCAGTGGGTACCAGTTCTTCACTGTTATCTTGTTGAGCCCATGGTAATCTGCACATATCCGCAGAGAACCGTCCTTCTTCCGCACGAACAGCACCGGAGAAGCGTATGGAGAAGAACTAGGCTGAATGAACTCCTTAGCTAACAGGTCCTCTAACTGCTTCTTCAGCTCCTTCAGCTCCACTGCACTCATCTTGTAGGTAGGTCTAACCGGTGAGGTAGATCCAGGAATCAGCTCTATCCTGTGATCTGCAGCTCGTTTAGGAGGAAGTTCAGCCGGTAAGTCCTTGGGAAACACCCCTGAAATTTTTCCAGCAGCTTCTCCACACCCCGTGTCAGCTCCTCATCCTCATGTGATGCTGAAATCGTTGGTGTTACTGCGTCAGGTGATGTAGGCCAAACTTCTGTGATGAGACCTAGAAAGGCTGCTTCCTCCCCCCATATGGCCTTACCAAACTGCTTTGCACTTATCAGCTGCAAGGTCATCCCCTCCTACTGCTGCACCACTGGTAGGCGTACAGATCTTCCCCCAAACAGCACCTTCACCTCCCTGGTTCTCCAATCCACCTGAGAATTCACTGCTGCCAACCAGTTCCTGCCCAAGATGATGTCATGACCGTTAAGCCAGATTTGTTGAAAAGAGATTTTCCCATGAAACTCCCCTATGTTGCAGTTGACCAGGTACAACTCAGGTCCACAACTTCGCACTACACACCATCCGCCATGCGCACCTTACTCGCCACTGTACCGCTCTGCACAGGTAACTGTAATTCATGCACCAACCTTGAAGAAATGAAATTTGATGAAGCACCACTATCCAGCAACATCTTTACCTCCTTACCACGAATCTGCCCCCGAAGTACAATTGCTCCTTCCGACTCCTGCTGCAGCGGCATTGAGGATGGAGTCAGCAAGGTGGGGCACTCCTCACCACCAGCAACTCGCCCCAAGGTTACTGGTGCAGCTTTTTTCCCGGCTGCCTAGGCTTGGTAGGGCAGTTGAGCGCTTTGTGACCACGTTTCCCACACTTGAAACAATTTCCAGCAAAGCCCTTCCGCTTCTCCTTGTTCTTATCAATCGTATCCAGCTCCATCGGCGTCGGTCCTGCACCACCACGCTGCTCCCCATGGATAGGCTGGAACATGTTCGGACTGAACCGCATCCCACGGTTGAAACGATTGCGGCGGTTACCGAAGTGAATCTCATCGTAGCGTTCAGTGACACGCGCCATCTCCTCAAGCGAACTACAACCCTGCACCTCCACTTCCATCCTAACGTCGTCTTTCAACCCGCGCTTAAATTTGTCCAGCGCCTCAGCTGTTGAAACGTCTGAAATTTCGGTCGAGATGTCACGAAATTCAGCGATGTAATCTGCTACAGAAGTACGCTGCCGCAGATTTGCAAGACGATCATGAGCCCTTGCCATCGCGTTGATAGGTTCGTATGACACAACGAGAGCTTCCTTGAATTGCTGCCAGGTTTGGATAGCAGGTCGCACCGATTGCCACCATGCAACCGCAAAGCCTCTTAGTAGGGTTCCGGCGAACGGCGCCCACTCTTCGCCAGCCACGTGACTTAAGCGTAGATATTCTTCCACTAGGAAGAGCCATCGTCGAACCACCGGTTGTCCTTTCCCTGGAACAAACGTGTCCGGCAGCGATGCTCTCACATGGGAAGTAGATCCCACTACGCTTCCCGGAGCTGTAGCTACTCCTTGCTGTGCAGCTGCGTTCTGCAGGGCAGCCTGCACCTCCTTAGCTACTAACTCTCGAACCGCGGCATGGTGCAAAAATCACTTGGCAGCAACTCATGAGGAAAAAACAGGCTCTGAGACCAAGTGGAACAAGCTCAACGGCTCTTAGGCTTGTTCAAGTTGTTCCTCCTCTGAAATTCACTCAGAGGGCTTTTCCTTAGAAGCCAGGAAGAACTAACAGAAAGAGGAAACAGCAACTTCTACTCTAATTCCTACGAATATATTTTTATATGTACAGTATATACATTTCAGAAATGCGGCTCGGAATGTCGATTCGGGTGGCCAGCCCCAACATCGAGTCGCATCATCCTTTTCCACATTTGTAACTCACTGCTATCATACACGTATCCTTTTCTAACTCTTCGATATTGTTCCCTCACCACCTGTCCCACGCAGAAGTCTTCCCAAGTCAGTCAAGGCACAAAACCTCAGTTTCGCCCTTCTCACGTGGGTCCCCCACGTCCTGCTCACTTCCGCCCCCTTGCTGCCCACGTTCGCAGCTGCACGCTGCTGCTGCATGCTTTCACCTCCCGTGCGCTTCACGCTGCCTCCAAAAGCAGACCCCACTTGTTACAGTACTGCTCAAATTCCTCTGGGAGGAAATGTGGTGTGAAATGACGACACCCAATAACAAACTGCTGTCGCATTGAGGTTCTGAATCTGATGAGAGCATAATGAAGATCTCGCTGGAAGGAGAGTTTGGCGGGAAAAGGACGGATTCTTGTGATGGATTGCAGATTCTCAAGGTTGTGAACGGGAGGCCCCTAGGAACTGCTGAGAGAAGTGCTGTACAGAGCTATCTATGATTTTTTTGCGAGGGGAATGAGAGGGGAAAGGGAGGGTCAATGTGTTGGAGAAGCGAGTTTCTGCCGCCCCAGCCCTTTGCACACAAGGAGCAGCAAGGGGGGATGTCAGCGACGGAGTTAAGGCTTCGCGAAATATTTAGAAACTTCCGCAACCAATCAGATTTCAGCCGAAGTCCCTATACAGTTCGGAATCAGTTTCAGCCGAAGTGTTAACGCTTTCTACAGGTTTCTACAATCCATAATCAGCTATATCAAATAATTCCAGAGCCTTCTTATTCATGCACCTCATGTGGCTCTCAAAGTCACTCAAGGTCCATGGAAGCAGAATTGTGCCCAAGTTCCCAAGGGAGTTGCTTTGTCTAGTAGCTTAGTTTTGAGCTACCTTTCTGCCTTTGTTTTGTGATGCTTAAAGAGATGTGCTTTAGTGGGCTTGAATAGTCTTGACCATAGTTAAGTTTTTTTTTTCTCATCCAGCCAAATTCCAGCAGCTCTGTTTAGCCTTTCCAGCCAAGTTTCCAGCCCTCCAGCAGTCACTATCACCCTGTTTTCCAGTCAATGTACCCTTTATTATTGTACAACACTCCACTTTGCATGCTGTCAGATATTCATTTTTCATCCAGCGACAACATTGTTATCAAACGCATGTGTCTCATTTCTCGTTTGTGCTTCTAGCATATCAAAATGCTGTCGGCCTCTGAAGACGCTACCAGAAGGCTAGGGGATCCATTTCTGGACGCCAATCACATTCTCCATTACTGCAATGTGGAAACCTAGAAGCTTCATTCTTGACCAACCCACACCTAGTTTGACCAGTTGCATGTAAAGCAAGCCTTAGCTAGCTCGGGTATGACCTATTAGACCTTGTTGAGATTTGAATCCGTGCCTGTCTTTTCCCCTTGAAGTTGCTGCTCTTTGGGTTGTCAAAGCAATGAGCCGCTTTGTGCCCTTTCTTCCCACAATAAAAGCAGAGTCCATATCATTTCCCATTTGCTGCTGCTGCGCTATCCATCTCAGGCTTATTATCCGTACGCCTGGCCACTTCTTCCCTGCTTTTTCTGTAGGCTTTCATAGTTTCGAAGTCCCGCAACCTCACGATCAAATCGGTCAAACTTGTTGGCGGGTTGCAAGTAAGGACAATACTCGCAGTCTCCCACTCCTTTGGCAATCCACCAATGATGCAGCATATCATATCTTCCTCAGTTTCTGCTCCTCCCAAAGCCTCTAACTCACTGTTGTAGAGCATCGCCCTATGTATGTAGTCCATTATGCCCTCATGAGGCTCCATGCTCAGAAACGAAAGCTTCTTTCTCAATTACAGCCTCCTTCTCAGGAACCGCATCCCATCCTTAGAGCTAACTGCTTCCATCTGAGCTCCAAAAAAATACTTGCTCCGTATATAGCGTTTTGATGGCTGGGAGAGCAACTGAAAGAAAAACTCAGCATCAGAAAGAAGTGGCTGAATTTGAAGTTGAATTCCAAAGAATGCATTCGGAATACCAAAGGCGCGGCTTACCCAACGTGTGGCACACGTTTCGTCTCGGGGTGCAGACGCAAACACCTGAAATTGCATTTTGAATGAACCGAAATCGAACTTCCAGGCATTGTGGACGACCATATCTGCGGAAACAGTGGTCGTCTGGTCCGCGCGAATCTGGGAGGTATTCGCAAGTCTGAGGCTGACAACTGGTACCACGAAGTTACAGATTGTGTAACCCGCTCAAAATTCCAAGTTCTTCCGCACCCTGAGCTAATGACAATTTCACCAAAAGTCTCAGCTTCCAAAATTATCAGCTCGAAAGTGAGATACGAGCCACCGCATCTTCCAAAACTCTCTTTGCTCGGCACCGACTCTGGTCCGAGCCTGTCATCTCTTGATCAATCTGAGTCATCCAGAATTCTCCCGTGCTACCACTGTTAGGGCGCGTAGCTTTTTCCGAAATCCATCGTCCGAACGGTGGCCCGCAAAACATGGTCACCTCTAACCCCGTCAAGTTTGCGCGCTACAAAGTAACTCGCGAGTGGAAGGCGGTACACTTTCGCGAGAGAGTTTTGAATTGTTTCCGCATAAAACCGCATTCCGTTTCCAAGGACCGAGCCTCCGCTTGAGCGCGAGGCTCGATTCCAAAACTGGAATTTCCTATTTCCGATCGGAGATTCGGGTTACTCGAAAACTTCTTGTTGGGCTCGAGGCTCAAGCATCGAATCTGAGCCCAATGTACCACGGCTTCCCCCTAAGCGTTCCCACGCTTGCCCGCCATCGAAGTTTCCCTACCAGCATGCAATTTGGGCATGATGGTGTCCAAGGTGGGGTGCTGCCCCACTTTGGACACTGCGGTTTTTATGCATGACGACCGAACACCCCCTTCGCTCCCAATCAAAGAGCAGAGTCTGGATTCACCATTCGGGAGCAAGCAGTAGATGGCGAGTTCAGGTGTATTGATATAAAGTTTCTATGCGCTCGAGTGTAGAAACAGCTCTGGGTTTCGTGCGCCTAAAGTGGCAGTGTACCAATTTTTGTAGTGTTTTTTTTTGCGATTTTTCCCCAGACTAAATCTGTGAACCTGCCCGTCGAGTTAATTGCACTCCATGACTTGCGGATGCCGTCGTCAGCTGTTAGATTGAGCTACCAGCAGAAGTGAAATCTAGATCGTACGGCCCAAATTAGTTTCTAACTGATGGGCAAAGTTCGAGCCGCATTTTCCCCAATTTCATCACATTTTACAACTGGCGAACCGCGTGTGAACTCCACCTAAGTCACATCTCTCCCACAACTTCCACCATTCACACTGATTTCCGGCGATCGTCAACCCGTTCCATTCAAAGTTCAACTGCTCCTGGCACTGAATCGCCCACTGCGGGTTCTATGCGTCCCAGCAACGAAACCGCGCTAGTGGTCCAGGCGTGTCGTGACGCGGCAATGCGTTGGGTGTACGCGTTTGAGGCGTTGACTCACATCCGGGTCCTTCGTCTCTATGTGTTCCCACGCGAGTCCCATGCTCCTAAGGAGGGACCGGCAGCGGGAGATGCGGAGTGGCTGAATCTAGTTTCCTCTGGCGTGACGGCACGACTGGATCTTGAAAGCTCAGTACGATTCAGAGACCGCGTTGACTTTGGAAACCGCGTTGACTCCGAAAACGGTTTAGATTCGCGTCGCTCTGGCTCGGAACGCTATTATGGCGCCCGGATCGTCATGTTTTTAGGAACCCCTACTTCTGACTCACCTGACGAACAGGCTCGGCATGCCGAACCGGCTGAGCTCGGCCAGCAGGTTCGGCAGAATAATCTGGCGGGTTTTGCTTCGGTAGAAGACCCCGAGAGGATTGAAACGCCGCTGCTATCGATCGGCATTCCCTTTGCGCTGCCTGTCAATCCCTCCGGAGATAGCAAGAATGTCGAAACCACCACATTTGGTGACTCTAGCGAAAGTTACAGAAACGAGCGGGCGAAGAGATTCGTTACCGTGCCTGTGAGCGTGCGAGCAGGGCACCTCGAAGTTACCGTTCCGCTTGAGCAGCTACTCGGATCGGATCTCGATGGATTCTGGCGGACGGTGGGGGAGTCCGGGCGAGGCGTGGGAACGGGGCTGCGTGCAACGATGGAGGGCGGTTGGGGGAGAGCCGGAAGGAGGCGACCGACTTCAGGGCTGGTCACGTGCGTGAGTAGCATTTAGTACTGTTCACCTCATCGTCTTTGTGTTTCCCCGCTCCGTATTGCCTCGTTGCATCCTCCCTCCCTGAACTCCCAAAACCCGAAACCCTCCCTCCGTAATACCCATCTATCCAACGTTGGAGGGATTCTTCATCCAGCCTTCCAGCCCATCTGCCACGCTGCCACGAGCCACCTGTACTCATGCATCCCATTCGAATCAACTCCTTCCCCCTGCAATAATCAATTCCTTTCCCCTTTCACCAATTCCTTTCCCCTTTCATCAATTCCTTTCCCCTTTCATCAATTCCTTTCCCCTTTCACCAATTCCTTTCCCCTTTCATCAATTCCTTTCCACTGTTCACTCTCACCGAGACTCCTCGCGTGCCTGTCAGCCATGGCACCGGTTCATCTGCACTTATCTGCTCACACTCCCTTCTAACCTTATCTCGGTTTCTCTTTTCTCCCTTCACAGCGCATCGCCTGTCCTGCCTCTCTACCATGGCACCAGTTCACCAATTCATCTGCTCAAATCTAAGCACGACCCTTTCCATTCCCCACGCGTTTGACCCATTTTGTTCACCTCACAGCCTCTCTCCTCGCCTGCCTCTCCGCCATGGCACCACTTCATCTGTACTGCCGCCACTGTCAGCACCAGCTGACTGCCAATCCACTTAGGTAAGCGGCAGTAGTTCACTTAGAGTCTTAAACACCACTTACGTCTTACATCCTCTCCCCTCGCCCTTACCCCTTTCCCCCTCGTCCTGCAAGCAGCCCGCTCATGCCACCGCATGCCATCACCCGATGCCATCGATATGGCAGGGCAGTGGTTCTTGTTGTTGATGCAGGGTGCCCAACCAACAGCACATTCGCCCCCATGCCCTCGCCTGATGTTGACGAGATGGCAGAGCAGTGGTTCTTGTTGTTGGTGCTTCTTGTTTTCTTGTGATGTTCCCTTCTTCATTCTCTCCCCTCCCCCCTAACCTCCCTCCCATTCCCACCCCAATAATAAACAGCAAATTCGCCTCCATGCCATCACCCGATGTGGACGAGATGGCAGAGCAGTGGTTCTGCGGGGCAGAGTGCTGTGCTGATGCTGCAGCCCACGCCCAGCACGTCGCCAACTCCCTCCACCTCCGCTGCTCCCTCTCCCCCTCCTCCTGCCTCCTCTCCCACACCTCCCTCGCCCTCCTCTCCTCTCAACCCAAGTCAACCAAGTCAACGAAAAAATCACCTCTTGATCCGACTCAGATTCTGGTCAGCAAACTCACAGTTGACAAAAACGGCGCACAGCGCTCGTTACAAGGAGAGTCACTGTTCAGTGACGAAGCAGGTCACCAAAGTCAACAAAGTCAACGCAGTCAACTGGGTCAACCGAGTCAACTGGGTCAAGCGAGTGAAGTCGATGTGAGCAGCACTGCTGCCCTCGCCTCCCACATGCAAAGAATCTCTATCGACAAAACATCTCCGTGCTTGCTACAAGCAGACCAGCCATGTAGTGATGAAGCAGGTCAATTGAGTCAACCGAGTCAAGGGGAAAGCATGACAGGGAGGCAGCAGGAGCATGAGGCAGAGGGTTATGAGACAGAAAGGCAACTGCTGGTGCCTAATCTGGTGCCGGAGGGAGGTCCGTGGGAGGAGGAGGTGTGCGGGGGATGTGGCACGGTGGTTGGGGCGAAAGGTAGAGGCAGAGACAGAGGCAGTAATACTGAAGCAGTGGAGACCTGGACAAACGGGGAGGAGGGTGGACGTGCAGGGGTGGAGGGAGGAGGTGAGAGAGGATGGGAGGGAGGAGAGGAAAGGGGAGTGCTGGGACCAGGAGGGAGTGGGGGAGAAAGGCCGGGACTGACGGGACAAGGAGGAGTCAAGGCGAGGAGGATCGATTGTGTGGAGCATCTGTTCTTGCACAGGGTAGAGGCAAGGCCCCTCTGTGTGATGGATGGAGGCTCAAGGCCCCTCACTGTATGCTCCGTGGATGCAGGACCATTGGAAGAAGAGCGTACAGTATCGTCATCAGCTGATGCCGTGTTGAGGTCATCAGCTGCCGCAGCAGACGGTGCAGCAGCCAGTGCAGCTCCAGACGGTCTCGCTGGGATGGGGGGGTTGCAGGAGGAGAACGCATTTGAGGCACCTCCATGCCCACCGGCCCAGGGCGCAGGTGTCAATTTAAGATGGTAACAAAGCAATGTCCATTCCATTGTTCTTGTCAGTTGAATGGACGGTTCTCGTCTTATTATTTGCCTTTTGCAATTGCCTCTGCCCCATCTGCTCCCACCACCCCCTCCTGCTGCTTGTTGTGCTCTCACCCTTTTCTTGCTCCTCCTTGTCGATTGTTGAGGCGCCTCAGAAAGAAGTTGGTGCGAATCTGTTCTTGCAACCCTGCTCCCTTTTGTCTTTTGAGAATTCCCAAAAAACACACCCTGTTCCCTTTTGTCTTTTGAGAATTCTCAAAAAACACACCCTGTTCCCTTTTGTCCCCATTTCCTTACACCTCGCAAGCCATCCCCTTCCCTCTCTGGCTGCTTCTCCTCGCTCCTCTCCTCCCATCTCACCACCCCTCCTCCCCAAACCGCATTGGTTCTGACTTTCTCCCACTCCTCTTTCTTTTTTCCCATCGACCCTTCTTACCCCCTCCTCTTCCCTTATCAGGCCCTCCCCTTCTCTCTCCACCTGCTTCTCCTCGCTCCTCTCCGCCCATCTCGCCACCCCCTCCGCCCCAAACCGCCTGGTCCTCCGCTCGGTCTGCTCCCACAAACCCGTTCTGCTGCTCGTGCTGCTCAGTGCTCACACAGCCGTGGGGTGGGGGGTGTGTGGGCACGCTGAGAAGGGTCGGGAGGAGGAGGAGGAAGTGTTAAAGGGTGTGGACGCTGGGAAGCATGGGGAGGAGGAGGAATGGAAGGAGACTGAAGGGAAGGAGGGTGGTTTGAGGCGAGTGGTGAAGCTCATGTGCAAGGCTGTTGACTCAGACAGCAATGCCACACGGTGAGTTGCGTTGCGTTCACCACACTGCTTGACTGCTCAGTTTAAAGCCCACGGCCCAAATTGCGGAGCGCCCGTGTCAAGCTTTTAAAACTTGACGAAGTTGAGGGTGCAAGCTTTGAAAACTAACGCACCTGCAATTTGGGACTTTCGGAGACTGATCCAACCCCCAGGGCGAAATACGAGGGCAGGCTGGGTTAGGCGAAAAAAACGAAGAAAACGAAATCAGAATCACTCGCCCAACCGTGTGTGATGAGTCGACTCGCCAAACCGTGTGTGATGAGTCGACTCGCCAAACCGTGTGTGATGAGTCGACTCGCCAAACCGTGTGTGATGAGTCGACTCGCCAAACCGTGTGTGATGAGTTGACTCGCCAAACCGTGTGTGATGAGTCGACTCAAAAATCGCCTCATCACAAACGAAGAAAACGAAATCAGAATCCCTCGCCAAACCCCAGACCAGAAAAACCCCCTCGCGTCAACTTTTTAAAACTTGTGCAATTTGGGCCAACGGCTTTAATCCTCACAATCAGGGCTTGAGGGGGCTTCAGTGGTGGTTCATGGCCAGTGTGGAAGGATCTTCCTGACTCATAATTCGAAGGGCTGCAGCACGTGATGTTGACGCTGTTTGTTTTAGCTGTTGCTCCTGTTGCTAAAGCGGCAACATCACGTGGTTCTTGGCGCTGCCAGCGGCGATGCCACACAGTGAGTGAGTAAGATGTGCAGTGGAAGGAATGTTGGGACGTGTGTGTGTGTGTGTGTGTGTGTGTGTGTGTGTGTGTGTGTGTGTGTGTTGAGCAAGTGTATGTGATGCTTGTCAGTCAATGCATGTCACAGCATTGGAGCTCCGAAACTGTCCAGCAGAGATTTCTCAGTAGCCTTCCCCCTCCTCTCCTCTTCTACTGTGCTGGGCAGTCAGGGGGACGCCAGGGGCCATGCAGAGGACGTGTTTGTGTTGCCGGTGACTGCTTTCAAGTTTTTTTCCTCATTCTGCTCACTCCCCTGCCTCACTTCCCTTGCTCTAACTCTCATCCCACAGTGAAGCAGACGAATGGGGAGCAAGGGGCCATGCAGAGGACGTGTATGTGATGCCGGTGACTGCATCGGAGCTTCAGGGCTGTCTGAACGAGAATTCTCGGCTGCTGCCGCCCAATTGCCGCGAGTTCAATGGCTTTACGGTCTCGTTTCTGCAAGTGTAGGAATGTGTGCATGTTAAAGCCAGGGTGTAGGAATGTGTGCATGTTAAAGCCAGGGTGTAGGAATGTGTGCATGTTAAAGCCAGGGTGTAGGAATGTGTGCATGTTAAAGCCAGGGTGTAGGAATGTGTGCATGTTAAAGCCAGGGTGTAGGAATGTGTGCATGTTAAAGCCAGGGTGTAGGAATGTGTGCATGTTAAAGCCAGGGTGTAGGAATGTGTGCATGTTAAAGCCAGGGTATAGGAATGTGTGCATGTTAAAGCCAGGGTGTAGGAATGTGTGCATGTTAAAGCCAGGGTGTAGGAATGTGTGCATGTTAAAGCCAGGGTGTAGGAATGTGTGCATGTTAAAGCCAGGGTGTAGGAATGTGTGCATGTTAAAGCCAGGGTGTAGGAATGTGTGCATGTTAAAGCCAGGGTGTAGGAATGTGTGCATGTTAAAGCCAGGGTGTAGGAATGTGTGCATGTTAAAGCCAGGGTGTAGGAATGTGTGCATGTTAAAGCCAGGGTGTAGGAATGTGTGCATGTTAAAGCCAGGGTGTAGGAATGTGTGCATGTTAAAGCCAGGGTGTAGGAATGTGTGCATGTTAAAGCCAGGGTGTAGGAATGTGTGCATGTTAAGGCCAGGGTGTAGGAATGTGTGCATGTTAAGGCCAGGGTGTAGGAATGTGTGCATGTTAAAGCCAGGGTGTAGGAATGTGTGCATGTTAAAGCCAGGGTATAGGAATGTGTGCATGTTAAAGCCAGGGTGTAGGAATGTGTGCATGTTAAAGCCAGGGTGTAGGAATGTGTGCATGTTAAAGCCAGGGTGTAGGAATGTGTGCATGTTAAAGCCAGGGTGTAGGAATGTGTGCATGTTAAAGCCAGGGTGTAGGAATGTGTGCATGTTAAAGCCAGGGTGTAGGAATGTGTGCATGTTAAAGCCAGGGTGTAGGAATGTGTGCATGTTAAAGCCAGGGTGTAGGAATGTGTGCATGTTAAAGCCAGGGTATAGGAATGTGTGCATGTTAAAGCCAGGGTGTAGGAATGTGTGCATGTTAAAGCCAGGGTGTAGGAATGTGTGCATGTTAAAGCCAGGGTGTAGGAATGTGTGCATGTTAAAGCCAGGGTGTAGGAAAGTGTAGGAATGTGTGCATGTTAAAGCCAGGGTGTAGGAATGTGTGCATGTTAAAGCCAGGGTGTAGGAATGTGTGCATGTTAAAGCCAGGGTGTAGGAATGTGTGCATGTTAAAGCCAGGGTGTAGGAATGTGTGCATGTTAAAGCCAGGGTGTAGGAATGTGTGCATGTTAAAGCCAGGGTGTAGGAATGTGTGCATGTTAAAGCCAGGGTGTAGGAATGTGTGCATGTTAAAGCCAGGGTGTAGGAATGTGTGCATGTTAAAGCCAGGGTGTAGGAATGTGTGCATGTTAAAGCCAGGGTGTAGGAATGTGTGCATGTTAAAGCCAGGGTGTAGGAATGTGTGCATGTTAAAGCCAGGGTGTAGGAATGTGTGCATGTTAAAGCCAGGGTGTAGGAATGTGTGCATGTTAAAGCCAGGGTGTAGGAATGTGTGCATGTTAAAGCCAGGGTGTAGGAATGTGTGCATGTTAAAGCCAGGGTGTAGGAATGTGTGCATGTTAAAGCCAGGGTGTAGGAATGTGTGCATGTTAAAGCCAGGGTGTAGGAATGTGTGCATGTTAAAGCCAGGGTGTAGGAATGTGTGCATGTTAAAGCCAGGGTGTAGGAATGTGTGCATGTTAAAGCCAGGGTGTAGGAATGTGTGCATGTTAAAGCCAGGGTGTAGGAATGTGTGCATGTTAAAGCCAGGGTGTAGGAATGTGTGCATGTTAAAGCCAGGGTGTAGGAATGTGTGCATGTTAAAGCCAGGGTGTAGGAATGTGTGCATGTTAAAGCCAGGGTGTAGGAATGTGTGCATGTTAAAGCCAGGGTGTAGGAATGTGTGCATGTTAAAGCCAGGGTGTAGGAATGTGTGCATGTTAAAGCCAGGGTGTAGGAATGTGTGCATGTTAAAGCCAGGGTGTAGGAATGTGTGCATGTTAAAGCCAGGGTGTAGGAATGTGTGCATGTTAAAGCCAGGGTGTAGGAATGTGTGCATGTTAAAGCCAGGGTGTAGGAATGTGTGCATGTTAAAGCCAGGGTGTAGGAATGTGTGCATGTTAAGGCCAGGGTGTAGGAATGTGTGCATGTTAAGGCCAGGGTGTAGGAATGTGTGCATGTTAAAGCCAGGGTGTAGGAATGTGTGCATGTTAAAGCCAGGGTGTAGGAATGTGTGCATGTTAAAGCCAGGGTGTAGGAATGTGTGCATGTTAAAGCCAGGGTGTAGGAATGTGTGCATGTTAAAGCCAGGGTGTAGGAATGTGTGCATGTTAAAGCCAGGGTGTAGGAATGTGTGCATGTTAAAGCCAGGGTGTAGGAATGTGTGCATGTTAAAGCCAGGGTGTAGGAATGTGTGCATGTTAAAGCCAGGGTGTAGGAATGTGTGCATGTTAAAGCCAGGGTGTAGGAATGTGTGCATGTTAAAGCCAGGGTGTAGGAATGTGTGCATGTTAAAGCCAGGGTGTAGGAATGTGTGCATGTTAAAGCCAGGGTGTAGGAATGTGTGCATGTTAAAGCCAGGGTGTAGGAATGTGTGCATGTTAAAGCCAGGGTGTAGGAATGTGTGCATGTTAAAGCCAGGGTGTAGGAATGTGTGCATGTTAAAGCCAGGGTGTAGGAATGTGTGCATGTTAAAGCCAGGGTGTAGGAATGTGTGCATGTTAAGGCCAGGGTGTAGGAATGTGTGCATGTTAAAGCCAGGGTCTCAAGTAAAAGAATCTGGTGTCAACTGTCAAACAATTGAAGCTCTGTTACTCTGTTTGTAGCAGGCGATTAAATCCTATGACCCATCATATCATGATTCATCCAGGCTTTGTAAGGTGCAGCGAATGTACAAAGTGTACAACTATAGCACTATGAATAAATACAGCGAATGATACCCATCCCAAATCTTCATTCCAATTTGATATTTTAAAGCAGCTGGGCTGAAGTCGCTTGGGCTGGCGTCGTCTAACAGCCTCTGCTAACCAGCTCAACCCACTGGTAGGCTCTGCTAAAATTTCGAGAAACATAATCAGTACTCGGGCAGTTTCCCTGCCCGGAAAATGCCAAACTTGGTGCTGCTGCTGTTATTGAACGGCACGTTATGCTCTTGCAAAAACTTCCCCCTGCAACCATCCAATACGAGCGCACAAAATCGGTAGGAAAAAAGGGACATTGCAAAAAAGGGAGAGGTCAGTGGGGAAGGTGGGGGGTGGTGGCACGGGGGGTTGTGGGGACGTGGGTGGGAGGGGAGGTTTGAGGTGTCTGGGGAAATGGAGGAGGGGGTAGAGTTTGGGGGGAAAGGGGGTGATGGATACAACACAACCGGGAGGTGGGCAGGGGGCGAGAGTGGAGAGGATATTGAGGGCCCTAAGAGAGTAGGACAAGGTATTCGGCAATATGGGGAGTACAAAACCTTGGGCGAGGCTTGGTGGAGGGAAGGGAGGGGGGGGGGGGGGTTGTGGAGCCAACTCACAGCTCTGCTTTGAGTTGCTCTGGCTGGCTCGTCTCACACTCAATCTCGTACTGTGTGCCAAAGGCAAACTGCATAGCCAGGGCAAGGGGCACAACAAGGGTGAAGTGGAACCCACTCGAAGCTTTTTAGTATAAAGGCGAACACAGGATTCGAGCTGGGTGCCTTTTGAGGCGCCTCAAAAGGCGAACACAGGATTCGAGCTGGGTGCCTTTTGAGGCGCCTCAAAAGACGAACACAGGATTCGAGCTGGGTGCCTTTTGAGGCGCCTAAAAAGACGAACACAGGATTCGAGCTGGGTGCCTTTTGAGGCGCCTCAAAAGACGAACACAGGATTCGAGCTGGGTGCCGAACTACAGGTGACAGAAGCGAGCTACACAGCCAGAGCGAGGTCAAGAGGCACAACAAGGGTGAAACCTGAGTGAGAGTTCTTTAGGCGCCCGAATTGTGGTGCTGTGTTTTGAAGGCGAACTGCTACTTGAGGCACGTCTTGTTATTTTTTTCTTCTTCACTAAGACGTTCCCAGAAGCGAGCTGCAATAAACGGTCAAGTGGGTGCATGCATTGCACATGCTCACCACACAAGCACACAGCGCAGACGCACAGCACACACAAGCACACAGCGCAGACGCACAGCACACACAAGCAATCATTCTTCTGCAAAGATGCAGCTATTTGCTTGCCATTTTGGTTGTTTGCTTGTCTGTTTGTTCGCTTGTTTGAACAATATTTTACTTCTCTTTTTTGGGTGCTCTGCACTCCCAACCTAAGTCACATCGAGCTCAATCGTGTTGCCCTGCTGCTGAAACATGCTGCAATTTCAACTGCAACGCATTCCACCCCCCCAGATAAGCACATCACCGCAGCCCACCTGAGTCTCATCGAGCTCGCTTGTGTTGCCCCGCCAATCAAACACGCTCCTAGTGTTGCGAAACCCCACTAGGCACACAAATTGCTGTTCTATCCGCACCGCACTCAACCCCTCTATTTCGCACATCACCACATCCCACCTGAGTCTCATCCAGCTCGATCATGTTGCCTTGCCACTCTACCACATTTCAAACACGCTGCAATTTCAACTGCACCGCATTCCACCCCTCCGGATAAGCACATCACCACGGCCCACCTGAGTCTCATCGAGCTCAATTGTGTTGCCCCGCCACTCAAACACGGTCCTAGTGTTGCAAAATCCCCCCAGACACACAAACTGCGGGCAGGAGAAGCGGGCAGGCTGGGGCAGGGGAAAATGGGGGAAGGAGATTAAGGGGGGGGGGGGGGGAGGAAATGAGAAGGAACCACAGACACAGAAACCGTAGTCAGGAGAAGCGAAGAGGCATGGATGTGGATTGCAGCAGTGAGGGATCCATGCCTTCGACACATGCACTTTTCAAGGTGACTTCTGAGGCGGTGGCTTCTCACAAGGAACGAGAAGTCATACCAGGGAGGCGAGAAGAGGCGTGGATGCAGATTGCAGCAGCAAGGGACCCGCCACACATGCGCGGCCAAAAGCAGGTTGATTCGAGAGGAAGGAGGGAGCACTCAAATGCGAACAGTGAGGAGGACGCAGACACGTGGGGCTAGTGAAACTCGCGAGTCGTACCAGAGAGGAGAGAAGAGGCGTGGATGCAGATTGCAGCAGTGAGGGGTCCGCCACACATGCGCGGCCAAAAGCGGGATCAATGTCCTCCTCCTCCTGTGAATTGGTGTGCGAGGGAGGGCCAACAAGAGGGGGGTATTTGAGGCGGCTCAAAACTCGTGCTGATTGCAGCAACGAGGGGTCCGCCACACATGCGCGGCCAAAGGCAGGTTCGATGTCCTCCTCCTCCTGTGAGTGTGTGCGCAGAAAAGCCAAGCAGAGGGGGACGGAGGAAGAGGGGGTATTTTTAAAAGCTCCGAAAACCATTTGTCCAGATACACCGAACCTGCAAATCTGCGCACCGCAGTGGGGCTCCAATGCCATCCGCCACTACCGTCTTCCCTGTTGCATGGCCACTACCGTTCTACACTAGCTTGTCCAGGTACACTGAACCTGCCTACCTCAGTGGGGCGTCCAATGCCATCCGCCACTACCGTCTTCCCTGTTGCATGGCCACTACTGTTCTACACTAGCTTGTCCAGGTACACTGAACCTGCCTACCTCAGTGGGGCGTCCAATGCCATCCGCCACTACCGTCTTCCCTGTTGCCTGGCCACTACCGCTCTACACTAGCTTGTCCAGGTACACTGAACCTGCCTACCTCAGTGGGGCGTCCAATGCCATCTGCCACTACCGTCTTCCCTGTTGCATGGCCACTACCGCTCTACACTAGCTTGTCCAGGTACACTGAACCTGCCTACCTCAGTGGGGCGTCCAATGCCATCCGCCACTACCGTCTTCCCTGTTGCATGGCCGCCACTACCACTGTGCTCTATAATGTCTTGTCTTGTCCAGAACAATATGACTTTTGAGTCAACTCAAAAGTCTTCCCTGTTGCATGGCCACCACTGCCACTGTGCTCTATAATGTCTTGTCTTGTCCAGAACAATATGACTTTTGAGTCAACTCAAAAGTCTTCCCTGTTGCATGGCCACCACTACCACTGTGCTCTATAATGTCTTGTCCGGAACAAAATCTCCGAATTCCACAACAACTACTGCTCTGCACTGATATGTCCAGAAACATCGAACCTGCGGTCCTGCGTACCTCAGTGGAGCGCCCGATGCCATTCGCCATTATAGTCTTCCTTGCCTGTTGCATGGCCACCACTAACACTGCTCCGTAATAACATTTCCAGAGACGTTTTGTAAGAACTCTACAACTACTACTGCTCTATGATAGCTTGTCCAGGTACATTGAACCTGTGTACCTCAGTGGAGCGTCCGATGCCATCCGCCATTACAGTCTTCCCTTTTACTGTCACAACGCACTTGCTGTTACTGTTGTAGAATCGAAGGCGCAATACAATGCGGTTACGACTCCTGGATGGGAGGGAGGGAGCAAGGGAAAGAGAGGTGCACGAGAGGAACAAGAAAGGAGGAGAGTTAAAAGTGCTTGTGCCTTGAAGCATACTTTGAGGCGCCTCAAAATACACCTCAATGCACGCGGACTTCATAAATCGAGGAGGAGAGTTAGAAGTGCTTGTGCCTTGAAGCATCTCAAACGTCCTGGAGATGGAGTTGCTGTTGTAGTCGAGAAGTCGCAATCTGTTTTTTGAGAATTCTAAAAAACAGACTCAGAAGTCTTGGAGTCACTGTTGTAGTCGAGAAGGCGCTACACGATGCGGTTGCGCCTCCTGCACTGGGGAGGATAAGAGGGCAGACCCGAAGGAGAAGGAGAGTACGGATGTGAAGATAGCAAGCTTGTAACGGTGGTGTGTTTCGTGAGTTGACTGCTGTGCTTGTAATGCTGACGTGTCACCACCACTACCACTCACAGCTCGCCGTTCGCGCCGTCGAAGAACACGTTCTCCTGCTGATGTGTCACGCGGTGATTGGCCGTCAGGAGCTCCGCGACGCGCGCGTGCGCCTCCTTATTCGCTAACCGCAGTTTCACCTCCACCTCCATCGCCACCCCCGCGCCCGCCGCACCCGCCGCTCCCGCCGCCGGTTCCGCCATGGATTCACCCCCGGAAGCCGCAGAGGCGGTGATTGAATGCGCGAGCGGGCGGAGGCTGGGAGCGTGCGGAAAGCGGGCGGGGTGGACTACGTGGGAAGGCGGAAATCGAGGCGCAGGGGGGCCTGCGGGACCTAGAGCAGCGGGAAGAAGCGCGGGAGGGGAAGCTGGGCGGAGGCGGGCAGGAAAGTGGCGCGGGGAGCGGAAATTGTGGTGGGGAACCGCAAGGAGCGGGGCGCGGAGAGGCGATGCGACGCCGGCAGCGGAAACAGCGCGCTGCAGCATGGGGCCGGGGGAAAGGCGCAGACGAATGGGGGAAACAACCTCCGGAGGAGCGCGAAAGACACCAAGGAGAAGTGTGGGGAGAGGGCCGAGGCAAAATGCACCGAGGGGAATGGAATATGTAAATGGCTGCTGTTGTGTTATTCGGCATCCTCGTTTTAATGAGGGCCAGAGATTAGCTCAACTAAAATGTAAACTGCTATGGATAAAGGAGGTTCTGAGAAAAATCAAAGACTTTCAAAGTAATAGCCCATATTTATTCTTCTATCACATTGGTGGAAAATTTGGTCCTAGAATTCTTCATTTTTTTATTTTGTTGATCTACCTTTTCTTGGAGAAATAACAGACATGAAAATACCTTCCCGGTATTATGCCCCATCGCTACGCTTCCACACCGACGCTAGCACATCACCCTAGCTTGGTCTACATGTATTTGTATTCCAGCTCTTGTCGGAACTTGGAAGCCATGAATTCAATCTCCCCATCGCTGAGATCCACAGGAGCTTCAGCTTCCGCTCCCTGGTGCAGCGACATGTAGCGGCGATGCATGTGCGCCGGAACCATGGACTGTACCCAGCGCTGCTCATAACGAGGAGAAAATGGTGGAATGTCGCATGGGGAAGGTTAGTGCATGGATGTGTGTGCATGTGTGGTGCGGCGTAACCATGAACTGTGTCCAGTGCTGCGTATGAGGAGAACGTATTTATAATTAATTGGGAAACAGAAAAGGTAGATGATTTACTCAGAGACGCGTCGCAGCTGTTTATGAAGTATGGGATGAAAATGTGAATGAAAATGAGATTATGTGTGAACGAGGAACGAAGCTGCAAAGCAATGCAGGGAGTGGTGTTAAACGTGGAGCGGGTGGGTGGGAAGTTACCTGGAAGGCGGTGGTGGGAGCATCGTCCATGAGCCACTTCCAGAGAGTGAAGGCCTCGAGGAGCGATGCGATGATGAGGAGCAGACCAAAGGGAATGCCGTACAGGAAGGACCACACCTGGCCGAGAGGAAAGTGACGGGGGGAACAAGGGAAGTGAAGGCCTTGAGCAGCGATGCGATGATGAGGAGCAGACCAAAGGGAATGCCGTACAGGAAGGACCACACCTGGCCGAGAGGAAAGTGACGGGGGGAACAAGGGAAGTGAAGGCCTTGAGCAGCGATGCGATGATGAGGAGCAGACCAAAGGGAATGCCGTACAGGAAGGACCACACCTGGCCGAGAGGAAAGTGACGGGGGGAACAAGGGAAGTGAAGGCCTTGAGCAGCGATGCGATGATGAGGAGCAGACCAAAGGGAATGCCGTACAGGAAGGACCACACCTGGCCGAGAGGAAAGTGACGGGGGGAACAAGGGAAGTGAAGGCCTTGAGCAGCGATGCGATGATGAGGAGCAGACCAAAGGGAATGCCGTACAGGAAGGACCACACCTGGCCGAGAGGAAAGTGACGGGGGGAACAAGGGAAGTGAAGGCCTTGAGCAGCGATGCGATGATGAGGAGCAGACCAAAGGGAATGCCGTACAGGAAGGACCACACCTGGCCGAGAGGAAAGTGACGGGGGGAACAAGGGAAGTGAAGGCCTTGAGCAGCGATGCGATGATGAGGAGCAGACCAAAGGGAATGCCGTACAGGAAGGACCACACCTGGCCGAGAGGAAAGTGACGGGGGGGCTGCTGTCGTTGTCGTACCGGTACATTCTTTTTCTTCTGGAGCCTCTCTCGTGATTTCACGAAGGCCGTAGACCCAAGGGAATTTTTTCCAAGTAAAGCATCCTTGTATGATATTTTGAAGGGGTGCTTACTTCTTACAGGGCCTTTTTGGAGTTGTCCGGGTCCTGCAGGGTCTTGTGTCGCAGAGATTTTATTTCCCTCGGCGATTTTCCCTAGTAGAGTCCGTTCGTGGTTTGAAAAATTCACTCCACGATCCTCCAATATTCGCATTAAATCCGCTCCACTGCTGCGGTCCCTGAGCGCTGAACGTGCAGTTTTCATTTCGTCACAATCGATGAGTCAATGTCCGGGCTTGCCGTAGAAAGAACACTTAGATTTGTTCTTCTTTGGTCTTGCCTTCGCGTCGATTCGATCGAGTTCCATCGGGTCGGCGTACGTAAGGTTAGCCAAGCGTCCTCCATGTCGTCTAGCTCGTCCATGAAGTCGTCGTGTTCCGATCGTGGTTACGTCGAAACGTTCCGCTGCCGAAACGACGTCGTTGTAGCTGCTCCAATTTGCGGCCGCAACATGTTGTCGTGTTTCTTTTTTCAGCCCCGCGATGAATGCTCTATTTTTTTCGCCTTCTGTGACGTCGGGGATGCGGTTGAACAACTCCTCCATTTGTTGTGTGTAGTTTGTGACGCTCCCGATTTGTCGATGACGATGCATTTTGTCGCGGGCGATTAACGCTGCATTAATCGGCTCAAAACGTTGTAGTAATACTTCACGGAACTGCTGCCACGTCGCTTCACCTTGGTTTAATAAACCGCTTCCGCTTATCCATTCAATTGCTGGTCCGCGCAGTAGTGTTGCTGCAAAATTAATTCTGTTTCTGTCGAATGCTGGTGCTGTCCATCCAATGGCGGCGAAATAAATTTTGATCGCCAAAAGCCAGCGCCTAGCGTCGATTTCCCCATCAAAGGTGTTGGGGGCTCGAATTTCTTGGGCCTTGGGAAAATTTCGCGACTGCTGCGAAGTCACGATCGATTCTGCTTCTGTCGCAATTTTCGCCATGACGCGCGCTTTCACCCGAAGTCGTTCGATCCGTCGCGCGTCGGTCTCGCTACTTCTGCACCGCTCGATATAGGTCCCAACAATTCGCAATTGTCGTCCCTGTATCGCAAACGATTTCGCCAACAAACGAACTCACGATCCTGTTCAAAAAACGCGCGAGGGGGGTTATTAAAAAAACGCGGAATCTGGTGCTTACCAGCGTCGGCGCCGAATTCGTCGCCCCCGGCGGTTTTTCGAAGCAGGAATTTCTTGAGCGCGCTGCTTAGCTGAAACTCCGTGAGTGAAAACGGCTCTGACACCAAGTGTCACATGATCGAATTTCCACTCGAGAATGTTGCACTAAAGGTGAGTACAAGGCGTATTTATACTAAGAAATACATAGAAACAACAGATAATCCGAACCTTCGGGAACGCGCTCTTCTAGAATAGATAATCACAAGTGCGCATAAGCACGCAAACCCATTGGCACTTCGGATTATGGCGAGATTACGCCTTGTACACCACTGTCGGTGCTGTCGGTGCCGAAAATACCAAATAAGTGAAATAATCGGAAAGCTCTAGAAAATAGAATAGTGTTAGAAACAGCAGTTGAAAGTTAGAAATGAGAAAGAGGGATTTCACTAGCAAGCAGTTGAGTGCATATAGGAAACTCTAGATTGGGCTGTACTCACTATTGAGTACCCCACTGCAGGCTAGACAAATACAACATATTCTGACACACCCCCATAGCCAAAGTGGGGTGTAATCAGCACAAGCAAGCAAAGCAAAAAACAAGCTCAAGGTGGATCACAATGTCACCACACATTCTGAGCACAAGTACAAGGCCACAAGGCCAGTTCACAGGCAGAGCAATAGTTCACAAATATAAGCAAAGCTAGAAACTATCACAGAGGGCAAGTGAGGAGGAGGAGGGACAATGAGAGGAGAGGAGGTAGGAGGAGACGGGTGAAGCTGCAGACACACGGGCAACAGGAGCGGCGCGCACTGTGGCTACCGGAGATTGTAGCCTCCGGACTACTGGAGTAACTGGCTCCGCGGCTAACTCTGAGCGGCAGGAGCAACGGACCCACGGGCGACTGGCGCAGCAGGCTCGCTGGGCTACCGGAGATTGTAGCCTCCGGACTACTGGCGCTGCTGGCGACACGACTGCTACCTCCGTCCAACCTCCCCAAACTGTCCCACCCCCCTTTCAGACACCCCCTGCGGCACCTCTAGCACTGCTTACACGCCACCCCCTTAGTACCACTCCATCGTCTCCCACACACCCACCCCCCTCAGCGGCAGCTGCAGCAGTGGGAGACGGAGGAGGAGGAGGAGCAGGGGAGACCGCACACATCCTTCACCCCCGTACTCGCCACCCCCAAA